CTTGGCGGGATGTCAGTCACGTGATCAGCGCCCCGCGTTGATCGTTACCTTCTGACGTGGTCGTCGGTTGGCGTTCCGCGCCAACTCCTTCATCAAGGGTGGAGTTCCTTTTGTTGCTTGTAACATACACCTGGTTACAAGATGCCAAGGTGGCCTCAGTGGGACGCCCAACAGGAGCCAAGATATGACTGATAGCATGACATGAGGTGAAGGATTTGCTCAACAAGGCCAAGGAAACCTATTCACCTACTTGGAAGTTGCTCGGGTCTTATCACGATATGTTAAGTAAGGCATCCAAAGCATCAATAAAAACAGTGAGGGAAACGTCCTAGAGCGGTAATTGCCAATGCTGATTTAGTCAATCATCTCCCTTTCAGTCTGAGATGTAGTATCTCAGTGACCCGAGTTGAGGGTTGTTGAAGCGAGGTTTGGAGACATTGTTGAAAGGAAACTCGAGCATAAAAGCTGGCTGGAAAGGCCTCGTCGAAGCAGAAGTCCTCACCAGCTCAGGAACGACAGTGACTCATCTGTTGCATCCTCTACCACTCGAGACATACAAGATGTTGGGCAAAAACTACCTGGCGTTGGCCGTTGCTATTCTTCCTACTGTAGGTCGGAGTCCATTTACAGCAACACTATGTATGCTAACATGATAACGAAGATTGGAGCCAGCGCAATTAACCGATCACGATCTTCTGCCGAAAATCGTTACGTCGAGGGACCGTTTTCAGAGGTCGTGAAAGATCTCAAGACAGACGCTACAGGAGCACTTAGCGTCGGACCGGACGGTGTCTTGCGTAGTTTCGCGGGCAACCTCGAAGTCATTGATTACCGTCAGCTGGATCCCGAGCAGGTTCGATGGTTCGGCAAGCAACAGCTCAGTGCCTGGTCGAACGATGCAGAGATACCAGAGTCAGTATCTGCCTTGGTACAAGGTACCATTGACGGACGACTTGTCACAGACGAAACAATTCTTTTACACCCCAGCGAGAAGCCGCAAATTGGAAAGAAGTCTTCTTCCACTCAGAGTGAGAAGCGAAGTGCAGATGACCTTTTCATCAGGCAATCAGCCCTCTGCGCTGGTACAACTTGCGGGAGTCTTAACGATTGTATCCCGAGGGGTTGCAATGCCTGCTACTTTCCCAACGGCCCGCCTGACGGTCGTTGCCTGGACCCCAACCCCAACCTTCCACCTCGGTAGATTCGTACAATGCTCCAGAGTATGTCGGAGTGGAGATTGAAGAGAAACTCCTGAGCTTTGGCTCACGTTGGGCGATCATCACTACCGCAATGCATGTATGTACATCCGCTGGGTAGTCAACGTCGCTTCTTCATTACCGTGTGGCCGCCCAAGTCATCGTACGAAGTCAAACTGTGTTATTCTAGTGCCAATTCTGCCTCTCTTAGAATACGTACAGTATGAAGAATCCTAGAAAGATTATATAGTATAGTGTGCTCGACTCACTCATGGCTGCATCTAACAACTGCAGCATTCTGCAGGGCTTCGCAGTTCTTTACTGTAGTGTAAATGTGCGAATATCACCATTCAAGAAGATTTGCCTATGATAAAGATGTCGTTGCATTGACCACCACCCGTCTTCAACACCAAGGACCATTCCAAAGGGAGCATACGCCTAGCTGGCCCATTAGGCACACGCTGGGCATTTGGATGAACCCATATCCAGCCTTCGCGTAGAACAATATATGCGCTCATCTCAAACGAGCCGTAGATCTCGAAGGCAAGCTCGAAAGGCGGCCCATCCAGAACGAAGTAAGTTTGGTTGAAGCTTCGATGCTAAATCACCTATAAGTAAAGGAACATAGGCCAATGGGTCGGCACTTACCGCGTAGAGGTGAACCCTTTCCACTAACTTTGGATACTGAACATCAACAAAATACTTAACATGATGCCAGCCTATCTTTTGACTTTCCACGTGAGTGTTGCCATGAATTATCTTAAAAGTCGTCTTAAAAGTCTTCGCGGCATTCGCCACTTCACCTGGACTATCTGGTTCTGGCAGAAACATGCCAAGCCCACAACATGGCTGGGAGAACTCCGATCCACCTGTAGCCTTTGCAAGCCCGCCGATGAGAGCGATCTGCTCTTCTACGTGAGATGCTCTTGGTCGATCTTTCGCATCCGGCCTCATCATATGCCGGATCAAGCCGACTAAGTGCTCATCTGCTGGTCTTCGGCACATGTTCTCCTCAGTATCGAACCAATGTATAATCCTGTCGAGATTCGCCTGAAACGATTTATCTTCCCTTGCGCGCGTAGTGTTTGTGTGGTTTCGAGTGAATAGCCCATGCACAACGTGATGATCTCGAGGAAGACGCACCCCATCGCGAAGATGTCTGAAGAAGAGCCGCTCGGGTCGTAGCTTGCGACCTCGGGGCTAAAGTATTTCGGCGTGCCACGCTCGCCGTTCTCCGTAAGACTCGACGACAGAGTGGAAAAGTCAGTTGCAGAGCCGAAGTCAGTTACCCAAAGGCCGTCGGCTGACAGAACTACATTCGATGGTTTCAAGTCCTTGTGTTTGATACCGGAGCTGTGCAAATACGAGACAGCACTCGCTATACAACCGATTGTCTTCTCGAGATATGTGATCGTGCTATTTAATGTTTGCTGACTGTCACTGCCTATAAAACCTAGAGACACGAAAGCGGGCTCTCGGTCGTGATCGTGACCTTCGGAGAAAACTGATACCATAGCGTTGCTGGCTTCCCAGTTTCCATCTGTTGTGCGTTTCCGCAGCCAATCTGCGTCTTCTAATAGCGTTGCAAGATCGCAAGTAGCGACAGGCCATAGTAGAAGGCCGAGGACCGGCCCGCGAGTATATGTTCCTATAAGGCGTATAATGTGCGGATGACTGAGCCGTTTGATGATCTCAATTTCTCGACGTTCGATTTGTCTGATCTTGCGTCGGACGTATTTGCGCTTCCATGCTAGTCGAATCCCGTTGCTTGCTATTTCCGTTTCGTAAACCCCACCGTGTACTCCATGTCCTAGAAAGCGACCTTCTACCAATGGCACTCTTTCATCTTTCTCGTAGTCAACATGTGACGTTCCACGACCTGACCAATCCACCGGTGCGCCGTTCACTAATTCGCAGGGCAGCGTTCCCGGAGGTGGGGACGGGTCGGGCTTAAGTTGCTGGGAACTTTGCTGCGAAGAGAACATGGCTTCTGATCACAAGCTTATCCTAAGTGTGGAAGCTCACGTCGAAATTTCGCTGGTCGCAATCTCATGCTGCTGGAAGACGGCAGCCGCAGGCCTACATTGCAGGGGAGCTGTTGATGTCCAGTGCTCGTTTCTCACACAAAACGCACTCTTTCCGATGGCGGTAGCGCGAAAAGAGAGAAAGGACGCGTGCTTGAGAGACGATGTTCGTGCCAGGTGTCCCCGGGGCGAAGCGACCGCGATCAGCTTGGAGGGGTGCGAGCCAGCGCGTCAAACGTCTTAGCTGTGTACCCCACTTACGTTTGCCTGCACAATCCAGAGTGCAGCTGAGCGAGCAAGTTCGGGTTACGCGGTGAACGCCTTGTTTCAAGAGGGCAGGGCAGCCAAATTGCGACACTAATTCCGTTCGCCGGGTAACTCAGAGATGCAGTCCCTCATGCTGTATTTACTGGAGACGCGGTGTAAGATCTGTCGCAATGATGTTCGAGAGCAAGCCGCAAGCGCTGAGCGCGGCACGTACCCAGCGCTTACCGGATATTTTTGGAGAGTGGAGGAGCATACTTTGACGCTTTTGCGCAAGGCCACAATGCGGTGAAGCCTTGCGTTCAAAAGCGAGCCCAAGACTGTTTCCAGAAAATGCGCTTGCAAGCTTCGATCGGAATTCGCAGCCTTTAATCCATTCATCATTCCATGCGCATCCATGCAAACTTTGAGTATCTACTCAGGGTTATGAGCGAGAGGTTGCCCAAAATGGCATTAGCCCATACCGCGACAGTGTATTCGTGGCACAGTGGGTAACCATAAGCAATCTGATGCAGAAGCTAAACATCGCCCCCAATGTGGTGCTCGATATCTCATATGTTTTCCAGCATTCTCACAACTCCCTACTAGATTCTTCTCTCGTCCAAAATCGAAGGAAGACAGCTGTCAAGATCGATTATGACATTTAGGCCTTCCCACTACGAGCACCTACCGAACAGAAGCGAGGAGTTCTCCGAGCCCACCGAGCCGTACAGAAGTCCATCGACCTCGAGCGATGTGGAACACCTTGGATCACATCGCCATGATACGAGCACCTATATCCAGCCATATGTGTCTCCCATCTCAAGAGGAGCCAGTTTTCAGAACCATGAATCATTCGAAGTGCCGCTGCACGGCAAACAAGAGTCCGTTTTCCATCAGCATACACTACTATCGTCTGCTACCCATGACTTCGATGCCTCGAGCTTGAAGCCTGACACCTCTTTCAATTCTCCGCAAAAGCGAAAAGAAGGCTCTTGGGCGGATGTGCTCAACGACTGGTGGTGGTGGGAGCTTGGTAGCGTACTTCTGAGCTGCGCATGCTTCATCGCCATCGTCATTACACTATGTGTAGTGCAGGGAGATCCCCTATCCTCGTGGCACTCTGTCATCTCGCCCAACGCTCTGATCTCGACTCTCGCTACAATATCGAAGGCAAGTCTCCTGCTTGCAGTTGCAGCGTGCATATCGCAACTCAAATGGCTGTATTTCGAAAGCGCGCCTCATCGATTACAGGACATACAGGTCTTTGACGACGCTAGCCGCGGTCCACTGGGAGCTTTGAACCTTCTCATACGCCTTGGCTCAAAGGAAGCTTTCACACGTCAAAGCGGTGGAGCTGTATGGGCGTTTTGGGCCTCGGTTTTGACGATTCTCGCGCTAGCTTCGGATCCTTTCGCGCAACAGATTCTGTCTTTCCCACTTCGAACCGTGCCAGACTTGACGGATCCGGCATCGGCTTTCATCTCTGCATCGCAGGTTTACGACACGGGTATCACTGGGTACTTAAGGAATAGCCAGGACCTCAATGCGGACATTGCCATGCAAGGCGCCGTCCAGAATGGCCTTTACACCCTGAATTCCCCCATGACGTTTGGTTGTACCACTGCAAATTGCACATGGCCAACCTTCTACACTTTAGGGATCTGCAGTTCGTGTAACAACGTCACAGATCAAATGGACGTGAGCTGCACAGAAGACAAACAACCTAACCTAGCCCTTATCGGGAACTGCAATTATACGTTACCGTCAGGGCTGGCGGTGTCTGGCCAATACGGCTCTAACGCCGTTGGCGAGTTTGGACCACTTCTGAATGCTACTGCGAAAGCAGGAAGCCACAACTTCATCAAGGAGCATGGAAACCTCACAGACTTGCTTGTTCTTGCCGGCGTTACGCGTTTCGGCGAAACATGGCGGAGGTACACACGTCCTGAAGCGTATGAATGTCGACTGTCATGGTGTGCGAAACGCTACTCCGGTGTCAAGGTCACCAAAGGCGAGATTCTTACACCACAAATACGAACCTGGCCCTTGAAGTCTCCTTCCGGATCTACCCTCAATGACGCCGGTATTCGTATGGGTCGCTTTGAGGTGGGAGAGAATACAGATTTCGATGGACCAAACGGAACATTCGTGGTCAACGCGGTAGAGCACAACATGCTGGCGGATTGGCTTGCGACAGATTTCTTCACAACGATCGAACAAGATGCCGTAGGACGAGTGCTATACACGCACTCGGACATGTCGCAAACTTTCGACAATATCGCAACTTCGATGACCAACAGGATCCGCGAAAATGACAATGCCACGCGGGTATTTGGGATTTCGTATCGCGAAGAGACCTATATCCGAGTGAGCTGGCCTTGGCTCATTCTACCCGGCGTAGTGGTACTTATGAGCGTTGTCTTATTGGTAGCCAGTATCGTATTGAGCAGAGGCGACAAGCAAGGGCTGTGGAAGAGCACGACGTTAGTGCCTCTTTTCACCCGCATGCGAGGATGGGAACATGAAGGCTTGAGAGTCGGAAGATGGAGTGAGATGGAGAATCAGGCGAGGCATATGAGAGGAAGGTTGCAAAGGGACGGGAAGGGCAGCCTGGACTTTGTTAGGACATGATATACAGGCACTGGAAGTGTTTGGCTATGCGGACCAGCGGCTGAACTTGCAGAGAGCTGGGCGCCTGACAAAGGTGATAAGCCTGGCGCTACCCCGCCATGGTGCTGCACCTCGACAACTATTTTTCCGTCCTTCCAGATCCCCAAAGTAATAATGGCAAATTCCGAGCGCACTATGCCATGCGATCTCTGTAGTGCCCTGCTCGAGATGTTTCAAGGGTTGCGAAAGGAGCCTATCGATATCTCGACTTTCCAATCGCAAGGCGCACTTCAATGTAGCGAACACACATTGCTGGTCCAGAAGTTCACAGAACACTGTCAGACGCCATCGAGGCATTATAATCGACCGGCCCCGAAGGACATGGGATTTCGCTGCGGACAGAGTCTTGGAGAGGTAACAATGACTGAATCGGTAGAGAAGCTGGGGGTGGTTTGGGAGCTCTTACTCTCCCCGAGTGCCAACGGCACAGAAGACTTCGCGAAAGGCGACATACTGGACCCTGACTGGGTTGATCTGACTAAAATCAAGCAATGGAAGTCTGATTGTCTAACGTCACATGGAAGCAGATGCGACAACCCCATGAGAATCTGGAAGACTACACCAGCGTGGCTTGTGGACGTCGAACTGGAGTGCGTAGTTCCTGGAAAAGAACAAGTCAATTTTGTTGCGTTGAGTTATACATACGGAGACCGTCTCGGTCTCAAGATGGACGCAGAGCTTAGTGCGAGACTTCGAGAGACTCATGCATTCCAGAGCCCAGACATAGCATCGCGGATCCCTCCCACGCTTGCACATGCTATGTTTGTAACGAAGAACCTAGATGAACGATATCTATGGGTGGACGCCTTGTGCATAGGTCACGACAATCCTACGGAAACTGCGCGTCAGCTTACAATGATGGGTTCGATCTACGCCAGTGCTACACTGACCATCATCACTACCGACGGAGATGCTAGAGAAGGCATATCGGGCTTGAACGGTATATCTGAATCCAGAGCGTTGGAGCAGAAAGTCTTTCCATTTGGATCGCGCAAGATTATTGTTCGCAGCACCGACATATTTTCTCTAGTCCACGGAGGTACCCCATACTTCTCGCGAGGATGGACCTACCAAGAACATCGGCTGGCAAAGAGAAAGCTGGTTTTCCTAAAAAAGTCAGCACACTGGGAGTGTCAGCACCGGCAGTCTCACGAAGACCTCACACCAGGTGCAGAGATAGAAACGTACATCGAGCCACGACTCGTGGAAAGCCTCGATGGATTTCCAGAATTAAGCTCGGTAGGAAACATTATTGGCGACTACAACAACAAAAGCTTGCGATACCCAGAAGATGCCCTACCAGGAATAACCGGTATGCTAGCTGTGCTTAGTCGTTCTTTCCAGGGCGGCTTCCTTTTCGGCATTCCGGAAATGTTCTTCCATCGAGCGCTTGCATGGACCCCGATCTGGTCGCATATAGAACTTGAGCGTCGAGAGCTATCTGACCGACCAAGACAAGATCAACTGCCAGCGGGCCAATTGCCATCATGGTCATGGGTTGGATGGAAGGGAATGGTGAAGCTTGGCGAAGAAGCGGCTAGGATAAATGATATATGTGCCACTATTGAGGAGACTTATCCCATGGTCGAGTGGTACACAGCTTCGTCGCCTACGACGAGCACGTCTGAACGTCGGCGCATCCATTCCAACTGGTATGAGCACCGCGAAGAATGGAAAAGTGGAACCATAGAGTTACCTGGTTGGACAGCGGTAGAAATGGAGAGCGAGGAAGGTACGTACAAGGGAGAGCCACGCATCTTTCCAGCCGGTTGTGGAGGCCGTGTGTATCGCCATCAAAACATGATCCACAACAAGAACCACGGTCCAACCAACGATTGGTACTTTCCGTTTCCAGTCCCAGAAATCTCAAGCGCAACAGTGGCTTCAATGCCCGAACAAACACCTTACTTGTTCAGTCGAACACAGCGGAGTTTTGTTCTTGGGCAAAAGCCTAGTGGAAACAGGGACGACACAGATGATGACAGTAACAAACTCATCGCTCTCTGTGATTGTTCGAGTGGAAACTCAGTTGGTGCACTTCACCTGCATTCTAAAGAGCAGCTGAAACTGTTTCCTTTCGCAAAGATCACGCCTTCATCGGGCCACGACGCCCCTCATGATCACTTCGATATGCACACAATCATGAAAGAAAAGCGGAATATGGATATAGTTGCAGACACTGCGGATAAAAGTCTGCCCAAGATAGAAATCGTCGCTGTCAGTATGACTCGCGTTGACAGCAAAACTTGGAATCATGAAGCTGAACGCGCTGAAAAGCCGTTCCGCGTCAACGAGGTAGTCAACGTCCTTTGGATAGAATGGGAGAACGATATCGCCTATCGAAGGGCTGCTGGCTATGTTAGAAAACAGGACTGGCAACAGCTTGAACGTGAGGATGTTGATCTAGTCCTCGGCTAAGGCGATATTCGCTGTCGTTTGTTTCTCGAAAATCTACTTCCTCCTGCTCTTCTTGGCCTCGTGCATCCTTCGCAAACCGTGATGTTTTCTCTGCAAGCAACTGAATCATGACGGCGAAGATGTACCCTCGTCATGACTGCTGATCAGGCAACCGCTGCCAACGTACGTGCTTACCTGTTCTTCTCACCCCACCAAGGCTGAGGCCACCCGCAGTCAGCCTGCAACATCAGGCCGCCATTCATCTCCATAGTCTGCACCGACTGAAGACCTCTTTTCGCATACAAGCAAACAGCACGTATCAGTCATCTACATCAGCGGATCGATCTACACCAGCGTTCAAAATGGCTGCGCAGGTAGAGCCCGAAATCGTTCTATACGACCTAGCATGCACCAAAGGTGTCTGTTTCTCACCCGCAGTATGGCGCATTCGTCTCATGCTCAACTACAAGCGCATTCCATACAAGACGATCTTTATTGAGTTTCCAGATATCGAACCAACACTTAAAGGACTGTGAGTCTGCTTCCCGTCGCCTCGTCTGCTTGGTTCCAAGGGAACGCTCTAAGAGGTCTTCTAACATTACCTTAGCGGCATCCACCCCGCCGAGTCCTCTACGGGTTCCAAGTACACAGTCCCAGCCATCTACCACATCCCGACGAACACCTACACCATGGATTCGACCCTCATCGCCCAATTTCTGGAAGCAACATATCCAGATCGACCAATTCCCTTGACCTCCGAGCTTGGCCGCGATATCGAATCTAAATCACGTAAGGTGATAGGTCCCATATTCCGCGACTCAATCATACCACGTGAGGTGAGCATCCTGTCACCTCGATCGCAGGAGTACTTCCGACGAACGCGCGAAGCTGCTATGGGATGCAAGCTCGAGGAGCTGCTGGATAGCGAGAAGGAAGAGTTGGCGTGGCGCAAGGTTGAAGACGATATACGCACCGTTGAGCAGTTGCTCCTGACAAACGAGAAAGAAGGGCAGTTTGTATTGGGAGCGAGGCCGAGTGCGACAGACTTCTTCCTTGCTGGATCATTGCATGCGGCGAGGACGGTTGATGAAAGCGTGTTCGCGAGGATCGCGAACTATCCAGGGTTCAAGAAGATCTACGAGGCGTGTGTGCCATATATGCAGGGGCAGGAGGTGCCGGATCTCACAAATTAGCCGTGCATGTCGCCAATATTCGCTCAGTAGTAAGACTTTCATCATGAATGCCAAGTTCTCTCATCGAAGGCCTCCAAGCTCTTCCATAAGTCCGCACAGCGCGCGCACAAGAGGCGGTCCAGTCTCGCGGTCCACATCAGGATGTGTTGTGTCGAGAAGCCTGACGCCGACCTTCATGACCTGTGAAGGGTACTTGAGGTTGCAGATTTCGGGCCGATCAGCCACTCCAGACTCCGATGCTACTGGTTGATGTGTAGAGATGATGCGCAGGCACGGTATGCCGCTGTTCATAAGAATAAAGGAATGAATAGAAGTCTGGTTTTCCGATGCAGCATCGTCGAGGTAGATGACCTTGCTCAGAAACGAACTTGGTTGAGCACGCATCGGCGTTGTGGTACCAGTCTTCTTCGCTCGGTCTCGCATCATCATGCTGTAAGTCCAAAGAACCATGATGGCGTGATACAGCATGAAAGAATCAGGACCACGAATCTGGTAGGGCGGAATATGTCGAGCGGCTCGTACTACCTGTCCAGCATGACAGATCGCGATCCTGGCTTCCTTAGTTTGGCTCCAGGGTGAGAGGTGAGTGTACGCGCTATTGGCAGCGCTTTCGCCGCATTTGCCTGCAAATCGGGTGATCAAATCGAGATTGACATGCAAGTACATCTGCAAAAATTGGTGGAACAGACAGGTGACAGCTGGAGAGTTGCCAGGCAAGAGGTCTTCGCGTTGCAAGTAGTGGTATCTGCCGAGCAACGTCAGCATTATTAGCTATGCGAGGACTTGTACTCACAGTTTCTCCTGACGCGATCGGGCCCAGAGCTGTGAAGAGGGGTCACTGTCCTCGTGCATTAGGGCGGACTGCTGTGCGTACTCCCAGATCTGAGCAGCAATGCCATGAAGGTAGGACGAACGAGCAACTTGCGCATCAATATCCACAGGAAGGCAGAGTATGGCGGCCTCGTCCTTGAGATGGGTTTGAAGCGAGGGACGGCTGGCGACGATATCCATCTCGAGATAGCGTATTCGCCATGTCTCTGCTGAAGGTGCTAGCCAAAGCGTCTTTGACGCAGGCAATATAAGCGTGAGTTCAGCATAAGTGATCAGCGGCGGGCGGTGCTTAGCCATGGTCATGTGGATATCGTGCTCGAACAGGTGGTATACCAACCTGTCTGGATTAGATACCGAGCGGACAGGGTGTGATACGTTTGTGGTACCTCTTGTATGATTCTTGCTCCACCCATCGCTTCCATTTTGTCTGTAGTTCCTCGTCACTATCCTGGGCAGATGGTGTTATTGCGGGATAGCGGATGTGATCAAACCTGCCGGCACGCCGCAGTGCCTATATAGTCAGTCCTTGTTACACAATCACATCGGAGCGTCTCACCGTGACAAGAGACTGCAAACTGCTCTCAGCAATTTCCATCTTCCTTCTATACCCACAGAATGCTCCGATGTCAAGCCATAGCATCGAAGCTTGGAGATATTCCAAATCGCGAATCACACTGTTGTCGTTCTCAGACTGAGCGCATATCAGATTTTGCCCGCTATAAAATCAGATCTGGTTCTTTGTTTGACTCACCAACCTGTTCAACGCGACTCTAACGATCTCTTGTAACGCCAAGCCTGTCCTGCTCACCGATAGCACGCCAAAACATACACACCCAGCCGCCACCAAGGCAGTAAGATACTCCGGTCGGGCGGTTTCGCTCTCGAACGTGTATGGATGGATCCAGGCATCGGTCTCCGTTCTTTTCGCAATCCCGACCTTGATCAGCTTGTCGACGCACTCTGCCGAAGGAAAGGACGGAATCGTGATCTGGCTTTGTGCAGTCTTGGAGACTAGTTGGAAGATGCGATCGCGGGCTGCTGACGATAACTGATCTGGAATCACAACGTTGGATGCATACGGCATATGTGGTGACGAAGCAAGATCCACGTTGCGCTCATCCAGAGCGATGTTTTCGTGCTCACTGAAAGCATGCTGATTACGCTCGGGAATCCAGAACCTAACGCGAGTCAGCACCGATCGGGTTATCGGTCAGTGTGATTTACCAGGCAGACTGTTTGAAGACTGCATGGCGCCTTCTTGCGGAGTCACTATCAATCTTCTCAAGAGAAACATCTGTATTAGCCGGCGGCGTGGCTGCAGGCAGGGCAGTCACCTGCGACACTGGCGCTTCTAGCATTTGACTGACAGTCGGAGTGAAGTCGTTGCCAAAGATGTCGACTTGACCAAGCCAGTCGGTCTCAGGCATCCAAGCCGTCAGATCTGGAGGCGCTTGCATGTAGTCGACACCCATAAAGTCTGGTGCGGGAACCATGATCTGCTCGAAGAAAGCCGGGATGGTATGCTGGGCATAGCTGGTGGTGTTGTAGAGATCGAGTAGAGCTTGTGCTTCATCACTAGCCTCATTGAGGTACACGCCATTCAACTGTATGTCGTCGTCAAATCCGTTTGGGTTAACTTGATCATCCGCAGGTGTTGCGAAAACTTGCGGTGGTTGTTCACTCGTAGTTGACTGAGTGAATGATGATGAATCGGAAAACTTTGTTACACATGATAGGCCCTTCTTTTGGCACCGTTTGCAGGGCCTGCCATTGTCGCATTTGACTTTTGATATTACGCACGAGTTGCAGGCTTTTGTGGCACGTTCTGCTACACGGTTCGGGCCAACAAGTCCATCTTTAGCATTCTTCGTATGCGTTGCTTGATGCCTCAGCAATAAGTCTCTCCGGTTGAACGCCGCAGGACACTCCTCGCACTGGAAAGATCGTTCATTGCGATCTGCGCAGGTTTAGAAAAGTGCTGAGTGACGACTAATAAGGAATTGTACTCACGTGAGTCCAGATGCCGGTTCAAGTGGTCGGCACGTTCATATGTCCGGTGGCAGACTTGACACTGAAGCGCACCAATTGAGGCATCGGAAGTCCGCTGACGCTTGGAGGGTCGCGCATTCGTTGGTGTCACCGCCATATCGACAGACATTATGATCCAAAGGCTGAAGAACGGAAATGTGGGAGAGGAGCAGGTAGTTCAAAGCGCACCGCGTTCTCGGGTTTCGGAAAGTGGGCGCACCTACCCTTGCTCAGATGCGGGGTGCGTCTGGGGAGTCACGGCAGTCGAACCGTCGGCACATTAATCGCCAAGCCTCCAACTCCCTCGGCAGTAACCATGATTCACGACTCAAACCTCAGCTATTGAAGCTTTTGGCATACAACTGTAATCGCAGTAAATATATCGATTGAGAAGGCATGGATCGGGTCTCGTTAACACTCATGTTCACTGGAGTGTCTGACGAAGTCTAAGCTACTGCAGCTCTCTGGAGACCGACTGTTATTGCTGAAATCGAACGCTTTTGTTCCCAATCGTGTACCCCCCGATATGTGCAGTTGTAGTCCATGAACTCATCAGGGCGCCTGTATATGTTAGATCATGCGAATAACATGCGCGGACTGATACTCACATTTTGATGACATTGCTGCCCTTTTCCGTCGCAGGCTTCGCAGCCTCGCGACTGAATCGTTGTATCAAGCTCGCACGTTCATATCGACTCTTGAATACGTTTTCCAGGATGAAAGATACTTCGTCTTTGGTAGGTCTCCCAGTGATGCTGTCGAAGAGCGCCCCTAAAGCTTCAGCGTCCTCGATAGTCTGGCTTGCGCCTTGACCTTGGGTGGGCAGCATAGCATGCGCTGCATCTCCAATGAGAATCGTACGCCCAGAATGCCATGTATCTAGTGGATCCAAGTCGCGCAGCTGCCAAAGGCCTATACTGTCGGCATTTCGAAGCATGTCTCTGGTCCAGCTGGGAAAGTCCTTGAAGGTCTCCAACATCTTTGCTGAATCTCCTTTCGTTACCCATGACTGCGCTTTATCAGGATCTTCATTCATCTGCTCGTCCGGTACTAGGCCGACAATGCTGTAGAGCTTTGCGTCGCGAGCGGGACCCATGATAAGCCGGCAGGAGTGTGCCATGATCATGGATGTGTAGGGCTGTTCTGGTTTGATGTTTGCAGAGAATTGTGGCGCACGTTCGTTAAGGATCGCAGTTGGTAGCATAAGCCGGTAGGCTGAGGACCCCGTGGGTTTGGGATGAATCTCTTTACCGAGAACAGAAGTACGCAGGGCGCTGTGAATGCCATCCGCGCCGATGACAAGATCTGCTTCCAGAGTTTCACCATTCTCAAGTATCACTTTGCCTTCTTCGCAGTCGCAGCTGGACACTCGCGCTGAGGTACGTAGAACCGCCGGCTGGCCATCCCGTTCGGTGCTTGTGGCTTTATCCCTGAGATAGGCATGAAGATCCTCACGGTGCCACATAATACGGTCTGCCCCATACTGTGTCTTACTTCGTAGAGGTATCTCATTCACCATCTTGCCATCAACGCTATATATCCTGAACCCGTGATCGATTGTACCATTAGAGTCCTCGAGTAGGGCTTCTAGCCCCCATGACTGCTGTAAGATCCTCGTGGCGTTGGGTTGGAGCGAGATTGTAGCGCCAATCTCTGTGCTGAGTCGAGATTGTTCCAGGATCGTGATCTGGCGATCGTCCTTCCGTAAGGCTATGGCAGCTGCCAATCCTGCGATCCCACCGCCCACGATAATGATTCGGAATGGCATTGGTGATGACATCTCGAGCGTCTCCTATGTCGGAAGTGTGATGATAGAGATTGATAGAAGGTCGTGATGTCAAGTTGAAGACGAGTAAGACATGCTGATGGCGAATACTGAGAAGGCGGGTAACTGATAATCGACAACCACTAGCTGCCCCAGCACGCGAAACCTCCTAGACGTGGTACCCATCCTCCACTTTACGAACTCCTCCGCTATTATCTCCGCATTCTGAATTCGGTTTTACACAGATCGCATATCGTACCGTCGTTGTCGTGGTGGTCAGGGTTCGGAAATGTGGGCCTGGACAGGCTCGGCCCGTGTGGGCGACGTCGAAGGCTGGACGGCGCACGCTGGTTAAACCTTGTTCGAGAGTGTTGAATATGACCTCTGAAGCAACCTCCACTCTTCACAAATCAGATCTCATTCAACCTGTCAAGCAGCCTCGAAACCGACATATCCAACAATATGATCTCGACCACGACGAAGACAGCGCCCGTTACGCTGAAAGCTGTCGAAGATCAGCGCATGAGAGTGGACGGCTCTGATGCGGCATTCGGCGACTGGAGGGATGACTTGGCCAGAGATGGCTATGCAGTCATCAAGGGTGCGATTCCGAAAGAGAGGGCGGACAAGTATGCAGACCAGATGTACAGCTGGTTGGAAGGATTGTAAGCATAGACACCGACTTAGTGTCGCAAACTACTTACAATGTCCAGCAACCTCGGCTTTGACCGTAACGACATGTCAACAGTTCACAAAGATAAGCTACCTTTGATCACCGAGAAAGGCATGTGTCTGCAGTACGCTGTCACGCACGAAGACTTTGCTTGGTCCATCCGAGGAGAGCCTGGCGTCGTTGGAGCCTTCGAGAAGGTCTACGATAACAAGGATTTGATTGTGTCGTTCGATGCTATCAACTTCACATTGCCGTACGTTGGGTGCATGCATCTCTCGAACAAGCTGACAGTTATTCCAGTCGCTCTGATATTGCACCAAACAAGCCATGGCCTCATCAAGACCAAGACCCCGCGAAGCCCGGTTTCAGATGCTTGCAAGGCTTGGTAAATCTACTCCCCAACGGGCCAGATGATGGCGGTCTGATCGTGTGTCCTGGCGGACATCTGCTGTCCGACGAATTCCACAGGGACATGGCCGATGAGGAACGCATCCCAGCGTGGACACCAGAATGGTATGGTTTCACCGAGAACGGTATGAAGTGGCTCGAGAACAAGGGTCTGAAGTGGTTGAAGGTGTGCGCAGACCCTGGCGATCTGCTCGTATGGGACTCTCGTACCCCTCACTACAACCTGAGCTCGAAGACGAACCAGCCCAGATTTGCAGTTTACACTTGCTACATGCCTGTTGAAGATGCGACACAAGAGGATCTGCGAAGGAAGAAGGACGCATATGAACGCTGGGTAGGAACAACCCACTGGCCCAACGCTAGGCACACAGGCTCGAATGTCGCGAAAAGAGAGGGAGTAGATGACCCACACAACCGCTTTGAGCCGGTCAACAAGCCGGTCATGGATGAGAGGACATTCAAGCTGACAGGTATTCCGTACATCAAGGCCGATGCCTAAGCATAGCGATATTGGTGGGTAGATGACGTCGAAGCTCCTCGAAGGTGAGTGAGTGGTGAAAGAGCAGGCTCACGCGTCATTGGCGCGTCACGCTAGTCTAGATTGGGACATTTCTCTCGTTGGCGAAAATGAAAAACAATGACATCAACAAACTATTCTCCTTGACATTCATGCATCAACACAACAACGGATGTGACGGCCGGCCCACCACCAGATGGGCGCATCCAAGTACCCCAGATCAGATGCTAACCACCTCCTTTAGTGTGCTGGCGTCCGGGGGACTCCACTTTGATGCTCATAGACTGACCCGCCGACGCGTCTGAGCATTACGCTTGTTGTGATCCGTCAGCAACGATAGCGGACACCGACATTGCCATATGTACATGGCCACATTCTCCACCAAAAGCTATCATAAAAGCAGATTTGATAGGCTACCATCGGAGGACCACCGCAAGGGATCGTAACCTGTCAAAGCGAATTCCACATCGCAAGCATAACTGTATTGTCAACTTGTTTGGATGAGAAGCGTCACGTCGAGTTGATCGCAGCAAAAACCTTCACAAGGCTGAGATTTCAACGATCTGACTACAAGCCATATTTACATTCAGGACCTGCAAAGACTAAACTACGACAACACTTCCCCAGCTATGCAAAATCATCAATACCACAGCGTCACTGCAACGCAAACTTACCACGAACACCTTTGGCTGACGTCCACGCGAATATTCGACCATGATTCCGCGAATACGGAGTAGATTGTCTTCTCAGCGCGACATCGAAGGATGGCCTGATGCCTTCTTCATCGCCCACTTGCCGGTATATGCCCTGATCTTCTTACCATACAGGAAGACTGGGATACCCAGCAGGCCGAAAATCGCAGTCAATCCAGCATATGTTCCAAAGGCTCCGTCGTACCCATCAGTCTCGATGAACTTGGCGACACCATAACTGGTACCGAAAGAGACAAAACCTCGTAGAGCTGTGATAACAACAAGAATGGGCCCTGCACGTGCCGGGTATGAGTCAAGGAGGTACGTGATCGCGGCGATATTTGCGCCCACGAATGCGAAGTAGTACGCTGCGTTGGCGAAGACGTAGACGAACCAGTGGTAGTCTCCTGGATGTTCCGCTGCCACACCATACAAAGTGGCAGCAAGGCACCCACATAGCAAAGGGATCCAAAGCAGTAGTAGACGATTCTCGGGCTCGTGTACACCACCATTGCGCCTTGCTCGCCACTTGATTATGGCATCGCTGCCATTACCGAGCAGTGGTAATGCCACGAAGGCGACCACGATCTGACCAGCATTGACATACGAGACGGCATTGTCAGACCAGTTATATGGTGGCGCGTGTACGATGGTGCCGTAAGTCGTTCCAATGGCAATGTTGACACCAATAGTAAGACCGTTCAAGCAGAAGGCCCAGAGCACGTTGGGGAACAACATGACTTGGAAAGTGTTGATGAAGCCATAAACACCTTCCATCCATTCCGGCTCATTGACGAAGAGGCGCATGTCCGACCACGTAGTACGAGGAAGGAATTTTGTGAAGTCCAGTGGGGGCCTTTCCGATAGTTTAGCTGGCAGTGGTGCAGTCGCTCTAGATCCCTCTAGCTCGCCTCCTTCTTCTGCGGAGAACTGACCGTAAGCAGTCATAGGTCGATCGTACTTGCTCTCGGGAACCCAGAAAATCGAGGCGATGAACGTGGCTGCGCAAAGTCCGGAACCAAGGTAATACCAGTTAGATGGACCAACAGCGCCAGCAATTGGCGATGCGCAGATGATGTACACAGCCGACAGTACTGTTTGTACGGCAGACTGCCACATCAAGAAGGTACTGCGCTCGTGAACAAAGTGGATTTCCTGCAACTTCGTTAGGCACCAGTCCTCGTGTTCTAAATCAGATGTCCTTACCTGAATCATCATCGGAACCAACGCCTCGCTCTGACCGGCAGCGAACCCGAGTAGCATCCTGGCCCCGAGGTGTTCGTTGTAGCTTTTAGCATTGGCAGCCCAGACAGAGGCGGCGATGAGGAGCAGTAGCGAAAAAAGGTAGACAGGGCGTCTTCCGATTGCAAGAGCCAGCGGCATGCAAACGAGGTTTCCCACACCCATGAACATTGACGGGTACGTCATGAGCGCCGTGATGTCCGCTACAGATCTGGTCAGTACAGTTCAGACACGAAATCTGGAGATCACTGACCATAAGTAGCCCCAGCCGCGGCATAGATAGGAATATACCAGGTTAGAAGACCACCGAAACCCGAAACCAGTGCAAGACCCAGACTGGAGAAGATGGACACCAGCACGATGAAGAGAATTTTGCGAAACTTGGACAGGTTTAATGGATCTGATAAGAGAGGTTAGTACGAATGCCACCCGGAAGATTAAGTGTCGCGGAGGACAAACCTCGAGGATCAGCGCTGGGGGCTGGAATCAAGAAAATCTCGTCGAGATTGGTCATGGTCACCGTTCCCATCGCCGCCGGCTCCACGATAGGCTTCACAAAGCCTGTCTCGCCATCTGAAACGACTTCATACCTTTCGACTTTGGTCTCCATGGCCTTGGGGTCTTTGATGTCGTCGAGCATCTTTGCGAATGCAAACGAAGTACTTGCGATGTAACAAGGTGAGAAAAAAAAGGTTGTTGATGAAGATGTAAACCCGCTCGTCCAAACCGGAAGAGCACAAAGGGATAACAACGTCGAGATGCAGACGGATGATATGCGCACACAGCTGGTTATATGTTAATATGAACTTCGGCTCCTCTTCTTGGAGGTTTCCCTGCTTGGTGCGTGGCACTCCTTCTTGTCGTCTAGCTCGCCTTCAGACTCGCACCACGGCCGATGAAATCGTCGGCGTTTCCAAGCCTTGGTCTGGAAATCAATACCGGCTTCACATCCCCGCTCAGCTGAACTCCACTTCACGAGCGTTACGCGGCACAGCTCCTGTGCAAAGGCTCATCTGGGGTTGCTTAGATGACCTGTGGGGAAATCCGGGGTAGCGCGTGTGTCGGAGAGTGGGCTAGCTCGCGGAAGGAGGGCCATCTCCAACCAATCAATACGATGCAATTCCCAACCACCCTTGGCTGACTTCAGCTTCTGCAACCGCAGTTGCCGACTTCGTTGACAAGGACGTGCACTCGTTTTCACAGCCTTTGCGAAGTCGCAAGTGGATACTCTATCCTGACAGCCATGCTTGGTAGCTCGACTGGTACGTCAATGCACATGCCGGATCGCCAGCGCCACACTGTCATCTATATTTTCGTTCCTGAAGGCAGCTTTTACATACTTAGATCACGACATGGCATACACTCACAGATGCGACGTAGATTGGAATAGCTCGTTGTATGCAGACCTCATTAAAAGCTATCTGTAGCTACAAAGGGACAAAAGGCAGTATAACCCTGCTTGGCGTCTCTGATCCGACATGTATTCTATGTTCTCCTTTGTTCTTCTCATGATCTGGTCGCGGTTGCGAGAAAGCCGTGTACTCCGCGATACTGGGAAAAGTTCCAGAAACTTGAACGCTCAAAGACTCGCCTTCGTCAAAATCCACACCCATCGACCAAATGCCTATCTCCAGCTTCACAACCTCTCCGGGAGTTATCTTCTCCTCTTTATCGTGCGGGTGGAATGGAAACTGTTCATGGATGCTTCGCGCTGGGTCGAATGCACGATGGCTGGCACGCAACACCCCTACACTACCCAGGTGCAAGTTCAAGCTTGCTCGCTCCTTCTCGGGGATATCCTCGATGCTCTTGTAGGTTGAAGGTATCGCTGAGAAAGGGAAGCAGAGATGCATAAGCAGCTTTCCGTCCTTGTCTCGCTTGCGAAGGATGACGAACACATTCATGTCGTCATGAGAAGGTGCTGACATGTACAGAACAGCCTTCGGCAGACCAATCAACCGCGACTTTTGTGTGAACTTATACGTGAATTCAGCGATTGATTTCGAGTCTTCCGAGTTGTAGCTGACGATCTCTGTCTTGGAAGGAGTCTGCTCGGCCAGGCCAGCGCCGGATAGGTAGAACTCCTTGTATTGCGTCTCCGGTATAGGGAAGTCTGAGAATTCGATGCCATCAATGGCTTCTCGGTCACCAAACTGGAGCGCTGACCATCGCACTCTCGCCATCTTCTCCCAGTCGTTGTCAACACCCCGGAGATACTTGTCGAAGTATTTATGCAATTCCTTGTCAGCATGAGGGTCGCAGTATAATTCGAACCATTCCTGATGTGAGCTCCATCGGATCCACTTCTTGTCATGAGGCACCTCAAGCCATCCTCGTACAGCCCCCATGGTATGTATACTAGAGAAGTCACTTCCGCTGATGAATACGGGTACTTCGATCTTTGTCATATCAGGCCGCTTATCGCTCCAATACGAGTTCGAGACGGGTGACCGTCGGTACATCTCAGCAAAGTCCTCGATGCCACCGCCAAGGTTATTTGTTTTGATGATGAAGTGGGTGATGAGGTCGAAGTTCGACATTGTGAAGACGCCACCTCGGCAGAATTGTTCGCGGTAGATGTCGCCGGATCCCTCCCAAGGTGCGATAGCGGCGAGATGGGGTGGGCGCAGAGATGCAACATGCCACTGGATGATAGCCAAAGCACTGTTGCCCGCCATGCCTACTTTTCCATTGCTCCATGGCATCGCCGCGATGGATTCGATGACGTCGTAGCAATCTTCTGCGTCTTGAGAGCCCATGATCTGTCATGGTTAGCTGAATCTGGATACGGGAAGGCAAAAGGACAAACGTACTGGTATGGATCCATCGCTATTGCCCGTACCGCGGGAGTCTACCGATATGATCGCATAGCCACGCGGACACCACACAACTGGGTCAAGTCCCTCAAACTTCTCCAATCCGCTGAGCGCTTCATTTGGCACACAGCAATTCCAAATGCAGATTGGCAGCATGTGAAGAGCGGAGTATTTCTTCCCGTAACACGACCAGCTCACTACCGCCGGTAGCTTCTCGTCTTTTGGAACATCGGCAGGCCTGTATATGTCGACGTAGAGACGGCAGCCGTCTCTGACCACTATCTCGACATCGTGATCGATCTGAATGTCAGACTCAAGAGCACGAGCATTGTGTGGCTTTTCGCCTTTGCGGAGGACTTCGGTCTTGCCAGGTGTGAAGCCTTGATAATTGTTCACACCCACCTCTGGCTTAGAGATGGGCTTGTAGGCTACTTGCATGGGGACTGGCATCTTGGAAGTTGTGAGTGATGAGAGGTATGAGTGAGGAAGAGGGAGGAAATTGAGTATCTACGGAGAAAGATCGTGACAGCTACTTGAACAACAAACAAATGCACCCCTCAACGCGACGCGTCGAGCGCACTTTGCAATGTAGCAGCGTCCACCTCGGCAAGCGTCCGAAACGTCAACTGTTCCCGTCCCCCACATGTCCCGAGTCCCACAAATCCTGGATCGTGAACAACGCGGGGTATGGCGCCCACATTTACCGATGCTGGTCGGCAACGCTGCACCGGCATATCCAAATAGCGACTACCATTCCGTAGACAACATCATACGAACTCTGCTTCACATTCTAGCATATAACACCAGTCGAGTGCAACCCAAAGTATTCCCATCACATCTTCATATCAATTCAGATTTGCAAGTTGAAGATCTAAAGATTATCATAACCACCATCCAGAGTACACATCGCGGTTTTCTTCCCAATAAAATGGCACCTCACGCCGAAGAGCCAAAGCCAGATAGCGGCGTTGATCTCATCTCGCACGATGGCACAGTATATGGCGACTGGCGCGACGAATTCCACAAGAACGGCACAGCTATTATCAAGGGCGCCATCACACCCGAGCGCGCTGAATACTACAAGCAAAAGCAAATCGAGTGGCTCCAGTCGTTTGGTCGTGGCTTCGACCCTAACGACGAGTCAACATGGACACAAGAACACCTTCCTGTGAGCTTCAAGGGTGGCATGTACTTTGCCTACTCTAGCACGCACGAGAAGTTCGTTTGGTAAGTCACATATCTGGGAAGATGTTGTCATTATGCTAATGCAAGTGCAGGGAAGCTCGCACGGAGCCCAAAGTCATCGAGACCTTTGCCAAACTCTGGGGTACCGAGGAGCTCCTCTGCTCATTCGACGGCATGAACATCACACTGCCGCGTCAGAAAGACCTCAAATGGAGCCCATGGCCACACTGCGATCAGTCGCCGCACCGCAAGGGCATGCAGTGTGTACAGGGTCTACTGAACTACCAACCAAACGGCTCGGAAGACGGAGGTCTGATTTTGATGAAGGGCAGCAGCAAGCTGTTCGACGATTTCTTCCGCGAACAAAGGGAACAAGACGCACACGAGGATAAGCCGCCAGAGGAGGAGGACTTCAAGGATCTCTTCATCTTCAAGGAAGAGGATGTGAAGTGGTTCAAGGAACGTGGGTGCACGCTGGAGAAGGTGAACCTTGACCCTGGTGACTTGGTGCTCTGGTATGTTCTTCTAGTCTTATCTCTTTCTCTTATGAGCACTCCAGTTAATGTCGCGTAGGGACTCTCGCACCATGCACTACGCCTGCTTCCCGCAAGGTGAACGAATCCGTCACGTCCAGTATGTTTGCATGACGCCGGCCAAGTTTGCGAAGAAGGAGGATCGCGAGCTCAAGGCTGAGCTATTCAAGACGTGGCAGGGTACGACACATTGGCCGCACTGCAACATCCGCAAGCAGGGCCCACCAGAGAGGGACGGTAAGCCAGATCCGCAGAACAGGACGGAGCCGTTGGAGAAGCCGGTCATCACGGACAGGATCTTACAGTTGGCTGCTGTGAAGGCTTATTGAGAATCGTAGCGGACCATGTATATTGCGGCAATACGCACTTTCTTAGCATCGGTGATAGCGTGTCCGTCTGTGCTTGCTCCTTTGATTCTTTCTGACCTCATGCATGCCTCTGGGCGCAATACTCTTCCATGTTCTCGCATTCCTCTGCTCCCTGGTCTAGCTAGGTTGGCAGTCGTTATTCAATCTATGGTATGATCTTCGCCTTCCTCATCCTATCAAACACAACTCCCCACGACTCCTTCGTCCCCCGCTCCTCCATGAACCCCGTTCCGTACGTTTTGCTCATGTCAAAGTGCCTGTCAAAGTCAAACTTAGTCATGAGCATTTGTTCGGCAATCTGCATGCCACGACCACCATCTACATGTCCACTTTGCAAGTCATACTTTCTCTCCATGGCCAGCCAGGTCTCCATGTTGTCTTTGATAAACTTGCGTATGTCGATGGGAGTGGGCGCAGGTCCACTGGCCTTGAGGCCGAAGTAGGAGCATAGTACAGGCCACTTCTCCTCCCAGTTTGAGGGTGTTTTTGAGTCAGCGATGTTGAATGCTTCTCCCTTCTTCGGCTTGGCGGAAAGGGTGAGATGGATAGTCTGGCGAGCGATCATATCACTGCTGCTATCGTTACTCAGCGCCTTCCAGACTCCTTCCGTGCCAGGGAATGGGCATTCCGCTCCGTCACCATACAATTCTTTCCACAGCGCTAGGTAGAGACCGACTGTCGTACCAAGCGAGTATGCGTTCTGGTTCGGAACATAGCCGACTATGATATCTGGACGAGTCTCAATCCAGCTCCACTTCTTGTGCTTGGCGTATTCGGCGATCCAATCGTTTTGTGCGTGGTAAAAGAGCATCTCGGCGTACGGGCTGGGTATACGGGGAAAGGTTTCTTTGAGTGGAGGTAGAGGAAGTTTAGGTCCGGTCGTGCCTGGGGGAGCGGTCTCGTCGTACCAAGGGAGCGCAGCGAGGAGGTGGACGCCATCTGATGTATGTTAGTCCCACAATGTCCGGTATCTTGAAAGGGCGGGTGAGGCCTTACAAACTTTTGTGCCAATTTGCAGCACGACATATTCCAGAGCCGGACATAGTTTATCCATGGCTTCCACTGCCTTGGAAAACATCTCCACGGCCTCTTCCATTTCCTTTTGTACATCTAGGCCCGCTTTGTATGCAAGGTAGTAGACGTGTGTCACCTCCTCAATTTGTGGTAGCTTCTCTGCCAGCTCCTTCTCAAGACTTTCTTGGCTATGGGAGAGTAGGTCAAGGCCGGAGACCAGGTTGAGGCGCGAGTCCTCTGGCCATTGTGTTTGCAACGGAGAAAGCGGGCGGTTTGTCAGCGCATGGACGCGCTTCCAGGTGTCCTTCTTTGGGTAATCGGAAAGGATCTCATTGACGAAAGACCAGCCTATTGAACCAATATCAGCGTATGGCCCTATCACGACATCCAATGGCTTTACTGACCTGTCACGCCAGAAGCGCCAAACACAACAGCCGACTTTGACATTGTTGTAGGGAGAAAGCGATTAGGGCTTGAGGGAGGAACAAAGAGACAAGGTTTCCATGCGTCGTCGTTCAGCCACAGAGGCTACATCTTGTCTCCTTGCATAGCGTACCAGTATAGAAGGTGGGGTTGCCGTTGCGATAGTGGAGCCATGGAGTCTAGACAGTCGTATCCCTTTTACGGGACATCGTCCGGTCTACTCGCCGTGTGCTGAAGGTTCAGCTACTGGTGTTTAGACGTAGCGTTGGTGCTGCATATCGATTTTTCGCCGACCACTCCCGGCTGTAAAGATCATACGCGTTCTTTCTAGAGCCCCGCGTCGCATTGCGAAGTACACCCTGAGGGGACCGATTTTTTGACGGGCCGTCAGCTAGCAATCTGTCGTAGTGTTGCCGCAGAAAGCGCCCGAAAAATTAGCCGCGGCTTGGAGACATCCTAACCTCTTTCGGACGCGTCAGTTACTCATGGCTGGAGAAGCGCGAAATAGGAAGAATATCGGGTATTTGCATTGTCTACTCGGCGCGTTAATGTCCGGGCGTTGGAGGTTGAGGAGAGGGGAGGAAAAGCAAAGGATGGTGGTGAGACGATTGCGCGAGGACCATGACGTCGGCCACGCGATGAGGTCAAGCCTTACGCCCGACGCGTCTGGCGAAGCCTCCAGCATCCATCTCTGATTCCGATACCCACACCATTATGAAGCTCGAATGCAGAATTGTAGTGAAGCCATTCCATTAATTAAGCTATAGCCGATTCGATTTTCAGTGGAATTCGTTCTTGTCCGCGTACACGTCATTCTCAAGGAAGACCTCCACCTTGTCCGTCATCTTAGGCGTCAGATCTTCGCAATAGAAGATGCAAAGCAAGCCCACAATGCCGAAACTCAGACTGCTGAGTGCCACAACCTTCAATGCGTGCGCGTAGCTCCATTGAAATGCCAAAGAAGCAGCGCCCAGAGCCTCGGCGGTCGTACCTGGCACTTCCGCGATAGCGGCAGCACCGAGAGGAAGAGCTGCAAGTAAAGCTTGCGCATTCTCCAACGACATGCCTGCCCTTACAGCTGCAGCGGGAACTGTAGCAGCAGCACGCGTGGTTTGCGTGTTAGTGAGAATCGTGGTGTAAATGGCTTGAGCAAGCGATCCTCCTGCATAACGAGCCATGCCCGCCAGGCCACCGGAGAAGCCAAGGTCCTGCTGCGGCACACCAAGTTGTGTAAACGCGATGGACTCATACTGCGCCCATCCGAAGAACGAAGCATTGATGCAGCAGAATGCGATCATCAAGCTTTGATTGAATGGAGTGACAAGACCCATCAAGGCGCCAAAGAGCACCATCCCAGTCCAAGTAGCGATCAAAGTCCACTTCCAGTGTCCTAGCACGTTGCCAAAAGCCATCAGACACAATGATCCGAATACGAGGCCGACATTTGGTGGTAATGTGAGTAGCAGCTCAGTACTCCGAGACACATTCGGGCCCAGGTAAAAGACATTCACCATGGTCGGCCAGATGATATTGACGGAGTAATAGAACATCGTTACGATGAATGCTACGATGAATGGCGCCGTGAATTCTCTTCCCTTGTGGCTCCGGAACAGATGCGGTGGACAGAGCTTGAACCTGGTGTTCGACAGCGTCTCCCAAACTCCGAAAGCAGCGATCAGGACTAGCCCAACTACCATAGGAGCTATGACGGTGACATCTGAACTTGGCTTGTATGTGGTGTTTACGATGCCGACAAGCGTGAGGCAGATGCCTGGAACGATGAGCGCAGTGCCCACATAGTCAAGGCCCCTGACTGCTTCGTCCCATGGGACTCCTTTGGGATGCTTCGGGGGCTTGTAGAACAAGAATAAGGATGTAAAGGACATGAATTGGGCAATAAGACCAGCCCAGTAAACCCATTGCCACGCATCAACATCGATAGCGTACTGTGGATTAATGATCAGTTATTGTACGATGTCTTCTCAAGCTTGTCACTTACCCTTCCAACGATGGGGCCGATTATAACGATGAGGAAGACGAAACCATCCGAAAGACAGATACCGATATGTCGAAACTTGTTTGGTAAGAGTTCTGCAACGGTCAGACCGACTGGCACGCACATGGTAGCCCAGGTCACTCACCAGGGATACTGCACATAGCCATCTGCGCAAAGCCGCCTCCAAAACCTGTTATCGCCAATCCCGCTGTAAAGTGATCTGCTCCCTTCGCCGTAGCGGTAACGATAAACCCAACGCAACAACATGCATTGCCAAACAACAAGAACCATCTCCTTCCAAAAAGATCAGAGTTTGCCCCTGCTATCAGGAAGCCGATGGCGTTCGCTGTCGTGTACGCGGGTATATACCATGCGCTCGATGTGGGGTCACCGAACTGGACAGCGAGCCGAGACATCATAGCGGAGGTTGTAGGTACCGGCCAGAAGGAGAGACCAAACGTTGAAGACAAGACGAAGATGACGAACCATGTCTTCGGCGTTATAGTGGTGGCGTCTGAAGAAACAAGCGTCTGTGGTGGTGTTGTTGTAACGGCTTCGATCTGCTCGACATCTGTCTTCTCTTTTGACGAACGGCGAACATTGCCTTCGTGAGTGACTTTCATCGCCATGATGATGTGATGTCGGAATACACGCTTGAGGCAGGTACGACAATGTATGATTGAGTGGGAAGATCGTCGCAAAGAGACCACTCACGGCTTGCATATATCCTTCATTAGGTTGTACATGTTTGCAAGTCGAACGTGTTAAGCCACTACAGCCCCGATATCCGGGCCTCGACGTCCCCGCATCTCGGATACACAGAAGCACAGATAATCATTTTAGCCAACTTTTGCTATTGGCTGGACCGCGCCAGCGTTACCAGTAGATCGATGTATATCCTCATAATCCGGGGTAGTGGATGTGGAAGTGGGTATCCGGGGTTAGGTGCGGAGAAGATGAGCGCTGGGTCGTAGCGCTTGACCAGAAATGGGGACGAACGATCAAGGGGCGAGGATCGTCTTCGCCTGGAACAACGTTTCCGATCGAACTTTGCCATGTTGATGAAGGCTTATTTCCTATACCCATAACTTTGTTTTTCGCTAGCAAAGAAAAGGGCCAGTACACGTGCCAGAACATGGCGCATCGTGTAGTCCATGCTAGTGAAGGAGAGACATGCCATCACTACAGAGCTGAAGAGGAACTGAACTAGGCTGGAGACATTGACACCCAAATCGCTAGCAGTAAGGTCTTAGTTTACACAACACGCACGTTTATCGCGAGTACAACAGCAACATCGATGGAGCTCTAATACAATAAGTTACTGGAAAGTAATCTTCTAGTCGCAGAGAAAAGGCCTGGAAAGTTCATATGCTTAGCACTATTCTGCACCTCCCACTACCAAGACCCAGCATTCCCTGCTCCAAAGCTACGCCAGTGAGGCTTCCAGATCTACGCAGCCCCTTCACGCGTAATCCCATCCGTAGCATCGCAATCAGGAATCGCTTTTCCAAAGCAGATCATATCGTATCTAGCTCCGTCGTCATTATCAGTAACCCACTCACATTAACCAACCAAATCGAGAGGAAGTGAGTCTCACCCAGCCATGACCTGAATCCCCTTCTCCAAGTTCATGAACTTCTCGGCATCCGGCATGAGCGCAGCTCGGTACTCGTCGCTCCCCGCAAACGCCTCCCAATCTTCCCACTTCCTCACCCAGATCTGACTGCACGCGTCGTATTCTAGTACGTCCATGCCCAGTTCCTGTAATTTGCTTTTCAGGCCGGGTGATTGGTAGAGCTGGACGTAGCGGGCTATCTTGACGGCGTGAAACTTCTTGCAGGCGACGGTGAGATCGGAGTGAATATGGTTGTAATGTTTTTGAAAGAAGGCGTCGGTAACGGTGGGAGATTTACGGAAGAAGAAGGAGAGCTTGATGCAGGCTAGGGAAGGGATCAGAAGATTATGGGGCCAGAATTGAAAGTTCAGATGGTTGACTGACGCTGGCAGTTCTCTTGTTCGTCCCACGCGAACTGCGGGTACGAGAAGTCGTGCTGTTGAGGTATTAATCATGCATCTGTGGAGTGGATGGCATGGGACGTACATCCATGGTTTTGTAGACCATATTGATACACAATTGAGAGCTGTGTTGCAAAGCCGAATGTCTTGCTGTCTGCGATGTATGCGACTTAATGTACTTGGTCATCTCACAGATATAGCCACTAGAAGTAACCATGCATAACCGACTAGAGGCAAACGCGAAGGCCAAGTTCGACAAGCGGGGTTAGTGAAGAGTCGATACAACTAGTGGTACTCTCGATAAGACCTACCTATCGCCACGTTCTACAGATGGTCGTTGGAAGATCGCTGATGTTTGCGTTCTGGCACGCAACGTCACGGCGACATAACATGCGATCGCGGTTGGCCGCTGACCAACTTCAAGGTATGGTCCATTCGGCAACAAGAGCGTGTCGTAAACATTTCAATTATGTCAATTGAGCGAGGAGTCTAAAACACCACGACCTGTCTCTTCTCCGCTTTACCAGCCTCCATATCCGCAACCATCTGCGGCAAGTCATCGATCTTGCGGAACTCGACTTCTGGCTGTATACTATGCTTCCCAGTAAATTCGACCGCCTTCTTCATTCGCTGGGGAATACCCGTGCTATCGGCCTTGATGCGATACCGTCCCGTTGTCAAATCAAATGTGTTTATGAAGTCAAGTCCTTTAGGCGCGATGCCGATCACCATAAGTAATCCGCCTGTTCTCAAAACATCTAGCGCACCGGCGTATGCTGCGTTTGACGCGCTGTAGACAGCCGCAGCATGACATCCCTTACCACCAGTGAGTTTCTTGATCTCCTGAAGATAGTCTTTGTTTTTCATGGAGTTGAAGACAGCATCCGCGCCGACCTTCTTCGCCACATCGAGTTGATTGTCGTTGATGTCGAGACCGATGGTCTTGATACCCATCTAAATCTTGTCAGCTTTCGATTGGTTGTACATGCTTGTATGCAGACTCACAGCTTTTGCATACTGGATAGCATATTGGCCCAAGCCACCGCATCCGATTACCGCTAACCAATCTCCTGATTTCAACTCGCAACTATCCACCGAATGGAAAGCTGTGATACCGGCGCAAAACAGTGGCGCAGTCTTACTCATATCCAAATTCTCGGGCAACTTGATAGCGTTCTGCCAATCTACAACTGCGTACTCGGCAAAGTAACCATCTGCTACGAAACCTTGCAATTTCTGGTTACCTTTCTCGCATCGCACGTTGTGAACCATGCATCCTTCGCATTCGAAGCAAGCGCCGATAAAGTAATTGAAGCCAATCGCGTCGCCGACTTGAAAGCCTTTGTCGCTTGCCTCTTTGCCGATGGACTCAATATAGCCGACGCCTTCGTGGCCCAGCGTGACAGCGTAGTCCGGCCTCATAGCATGGAGGAGGTCGGAGTGACATAGCGATGCGGATTGTATCTTGACCAGAAACTGGTTTGGAGCTTCGGTTGGTTTCGGCACATCGTTCACGACGACCTTCTTTTCCTTACTGAAGTTTGCGTGAGTTCCATGTAACAGCAGAAGTGTTTTGTGCACTTACGGATCCCACTGGCCGGCTTTCATTATTACGGAATGTTTTCAGTATGCTTTTGGGGAATTTTGGTATAGCTTGAGGACTATGATGGTTTTGATTAATGTTATATATACCGACTATTCACTCCTAATTCACTCGATGCAACGAGATGACAGGCGCAACAGGAGTGGAAAGACTGGAGGGGCTGTGCTGCGAGTCATTCCGATGCGCCGGGAACATGGTTGCTGACTTGTCCTAGCCAAGCCATATGAACGGAAAACGGTGGCCGACATAGTGTGCTGGCTAAGACTTGGGGCTAGGATTGAAGCTTGGAAGAGGTGCTAGGTGCGGGGACGACGAAGCGGGGTAGATCTCTCTAAGCGTGGACTTTGGCTGAGCTACCGCCATGCCAGATCTGGATCGCGGTAGTCTGTAGTACGGTAGAGACACGCTACACGAGACTGCATTGGCAAAAAGAGAGTGTTGTATTGCATTCGCTGAAGGTTTGCTGGGATACGATTGACGTGACGTCACGCCAAGACACCTATCTACGGTGGACTATTAGCGGAGGGTACGTAGAACCAAAACCTCTGGTAAGGCCTCGGATTCTCGATATCGCTCTGATCCGCTGCATACACTCTCATATAGTTCCTCGTCGGCACCTTGCTGACTCCATACATCTCCATGGCAAACTTTTGTATACTGTCTGGAAAGACCCAGAAGTAACTCAATTCCTTGTAATCATCGAGGCTCGTCACGCGCTCGCCAATCAGGCAATTGTATTCTTCGCCGTTTTTCTTCTTTCCAAAGGATACTACCTCAGTGCCGATCAAATCGCCGAAGTCGAAGGCCGGGAAAGTGAAGAGGGGCTGATTACCGGAGCCCTTTGTGGTTAGGATCACATCGGTCCAGTAATCGTCGGTGTTAGGGATGGGCTGAGATTGAGCATGGAAGAGCTTGGTCTGAATCGAATTCTGTAGAAGGAGAAGCAGTTAGCTTAGGATGCCAAAAAGGGATGAAGCAGTATGAGGGGATGAACCTACGAGAACTTCAAGTCGAAAGTCGCCCGGTTTCATGTGGTCAGGATCTTCCTTAGCTGCCTCAGGATGTTCGGAGATAAGGATCACCCTATCGCGGATGTTTTCGAAGATGTTGATGGCTTGCTTTATCAATTGAGTCTTTCGTTCGGGGCCGTCCTTGAACTTGCTCTCCGGCACTATGGAAGTCTTCTTAGCCAAGGTAGCCAATGTCTGCAAGTGAACCTACCAGCCTTGATCATGGTTTCGATAGCCTTGTATAGCGTGAAGTCGTTGAAAAGCGCCCAGGACTTGTCGAGATCGTTAGCATGAATAGTGTCGAATCGGTAGGTTGCGGCTCACCCTCAAACTAGCCATCTGGTAATCGAACGGAGCGAAATAACTCTCAAAGTTGGAGAGATTTCTGTACTTTCCCAGCACCGCACTGCGCCAAGCCATGTTAGCCTCGAATCACTCATCCGATCTCTGGAACATGGGATCACCTACAACAACACATAAGAATGCTTTCCCGAATCCGCATCCTTGTAGAATTGGTCTGCCTTTTCCTTCACAGCCAGAAGGTCAGAGCTCTCTTCAGCTTTGACAGCGTAGCCTCCTCCACTGGCACCACTCTTGCTGGTTCCCATGGACTCGATGATGGTGATCTTGACCGAAGCGTTTCGTTTGATGGAGCTGACGGCTCTTTCGACCTCTTGCGTAATCTTTCCAGAAACGCCGTACATAGTCATGGCGACTTCAGCGCTATTAGTCAATGAGTTAGCGAGATACTGATGATGCTGAAAGAACTGGAGAGCGGTAGTATTCACGTAACAGTGGAAACTTACGATTGCTTGAGCTCGCTGGTCTCAGACGAGTTTTTCGCTGTGATGGAGACACGGGCGTAGAAATGACCACCTTTTATAAAGTCGGCGATAAAACGGTCGCCGTATGTCGCGTGCGGGGTGGTCGTCTGAATCTTGTTGAAGGAGTGCTTGTCGAGCACGCTTACTTGGTGCTGAACCAAGACTTTGACCTCGTATGTCAAAGTGCTGGTCTCAAACTATATGCCACTTAGCCTATGATCGTTGGAGCAAGAAGTGTTTTAACACACCTCACTACGATTGAGAATGTCGACATTGACATTGGCCTCCTGACCCCATCCGGAGACAGCGGCGCCAGCACTGATTCTCATGCTCTTTGCTATCTTCCTGAGACAATCGCGTAAGCAAGTGGCGCTCCCTGGGTAAGGTGACATACTTACTCGTATTCTTCAATGAACTCAGAATAATACTCTTTCTTGAATGGAGGGTTGCTGTCATCGTGACGTTCGATAGTAACCGCATCTTTGACACAAAGCGATTGCAGGTAGGTATTGTAACTTGAAGAATGCTTAGTTCACCGCCCTCATTGAACCAGAAGGCAGGTCTTACCCTTGGCCGCGCTGCATGCCTGCTTTGTAAGGAACTACTTCGCCCATGGTGGAAAGACGTTGTTGAAATTGAAAGGTGTCGTTTTGTGAGAGTAACAGATATTTGATTATTGCACGAGAATTTCGTGCTAGAATACCTTCACTATAAATGTATAATCTGGAGTTCTCTATCTCGAGCCCGATGCAACCTTGAGATCCGTGCAACCGGGCGCCGAGAAGTCAGACATATGACTAGCGAAACCTCGCGTGCTGGAACAAGGTCCTCCGCAGCTGCATGCAGCATATGTGGTGTGTTCAAGGAGTTCGTTTGCGCTGCGATGATCCTACTTAGGCGCCAAGAGGTTTGATAGAACTCGATGGACGCGTTGCCAGTCCTTCGAATCAATCTTCACTTCACCGCTATACACAGAGATCAAGTGTGCTAATCGGGCTAGACTGTCTTGTCTGCAGGCGGAGTTGCTCGCGGACGGCTCGGATCGTTATCCACCTAGGCAGCGGTGACTTTCCGTTCCCTCCATCACAGGGAACCTTACGACGCGTGTGACGAGATTTGTTTTTGCGGAGTGGATCGCATGCGAAGGGCAACATACCGTCCTCCCGTCTTTCCGTCTGCACCTCCGGGCCTGTGAATTTTAGCGTAGTCGGATCGGGCCGTTCTGGTGGCGTTCGCATTTTCTAATTCGAGGTAGCGGCGTGCGATGACTTGCATGACAGTCTCCACCATCCATTTCAATTCGCCACAAATCCTGGCCCCTGCTCAATACTTCTGCGTGCTTCGAGTGTGTGTCGCTTCAGTGTGCACAGAAGGCGCAAGCACGATTCATTCGGGCGCTTGGCAGGGGATCTCGTTCTTACGTACCTAGGTATGCGAAAACGTGCAGGTCTATCAAAACGCCGTAGGATGATTCGCAATCGTGTTCTCGCAGCATTGGCTCTAACTATTGCTAGCTCACACTCAGCTTAGACAAATCAGAATATCAGTTGTTCTCAAAGTCGCGTTACGATTTCAGTAGATCAACGTGTTCGAGCTCGTTGATGTGTCCCTTGTAATAAATTTGTTCAGTAATGTATATGGGTCTAGTATTATGTAAGTAATACACTGGCTGCTATGGACGACCTCAATACTGGCGTGATTGACCGACTGTACTCCAATTTTGGGTAAGAGGGTGCTAAGCGATGGACCTCCGTTGCAGTGGGGTTAGCGATGTAGTGATGATGTGCGTCAAGATGGCTGGTTAGCTTTCGATACGAAGGAACCTTGACAATCGGGGAGTCCGTTTGGATGGTTTTGCGCAGCGTACACCGCTTCATTCCCCTGCATAATGGTTTCGCGAGAAGCCCTCCTACACATCGCTTCCGCCGAGATCGGATACTATGACGAAGAGATGCGTACGCATTACACTGACTTGCATTCGTAACTGCCACTTTGCGCAACTGGTGGCGACCGTTGCTTGCTTGTTCGGACCGGAAACTGCAGAGACCGGTGTCCAGCCTCAGGCAAATGAGTATCGATGGTGGAGCCTTGCTCAGGCCGTCAGCAGCATTTTCCAGACATGGTTATTGACCAGCGAGAATTACGTTGCGTTGCATAGAGTCAGAGGGCGTTTGCTTTTTCAGACTGCAGTCTAAGAGAGAATGAGGGTGTCGTGGTTTATTCCCCAAGACGAAGCTCCATAGTCGCGCAGCTACATGCTGTACATGTCGGAAGAGCTACAGACACGCAAGCTCGTTGTAGTATTTCCACTGAGTATATATTGGGCTTCCAGGTAATCACTTCCAGCATCCAAGCACACACTATCTACCACTTCAATCCAACATCTCACCACTCTCCAACATCTCATCATGGCATACGCACAATGGGTCGTCATCCACATCATCAACAGTTTCCGAAGTGGAAACATCAGCGTCAAGAATGCGGAAGCCATGTGTAAGTCTCTCCCATCTCCGTTTCCGGACCACTTTATCATCATTATATGGTACTTCCGATAGATCAATTGCTGACGCACATTTCAAGGGGGTAAATTCCACAAGAACGGCAACAAAGACGCAGAAATAGGCGCTGGTGAAATCAACAAAGTGAGCGTTGGCGCAGGCTCGAGCGAGAAGGTATCATCTTGTGGACGCTCTGACTCCGCTTCTGGCACCGAGGGTAAATTGTAAGTGTTGATCCCAACTTCGCGCAGCTTCTCACCTATTTCGACTAACACTATGGTTCTCAGTGACATCTACGACGGAGACAACAGAGTCTGCACCATTTACTGGTCCTGCCCTTGGGGTTCCAAGTCGAACAGCTTCCAGGTGCAGAACCGCAACAAGGACTACGGTATTACTCCTGGTGATTGGAACCAGGACTCTGGTGCCCTTGGAGAGGTGGACATCGACATCTCGAGGAAGGGTTAGATGGTGCGGAAGTGAAAGCCGTAGTCTTCGGCTGGACGCGGATCGAAGCACGCTCAGCTCGCAGTATGAAGTCAAGATAGAATGCCATAAATGTCGCTCTTTTCAATATCTTAAACCCATTTTCTTCTTCTTATGCACACACCTGATCTCCTTGGATGTGACTGTTAGATGCTTTCGGATGTTGGTATTCATGAGTAAAATTGACACAGCTATGTATCACCCCTTCGCAAACGTCCATCTCCATCAATATTTGCCTAAAAGAAAGCACAATAAACCTGGCTATCATTGTTCGACCCTCCAGCAAAGACACTGCAAGTCTTATGCACCGAAAAGTCCACCGAGCAAGTCCCCACATCCGTATCACCCTCCACCAACGTCGCATACGCCTGTCCATTATTCGCCTCGCTAAGGTCACTCATAGCCTTGCAATCATCAGGCCCCCGGCTCACAAGGCGCATGATGCGATCACCACAGACGGTAAACTCTAGGTCGCAGAAGCTATCGCCTGGAGTGAGGTTCGGAGCGGGTTTGGCATCGCATCCACCGCCGTTGCAGTCGTCGTGGACGTACATGCTGATGGAGTTGAGGTCGTTGCCGCCGGTGCAGGCTTCGGGTCCGCATTGCTCTGGGGTTTTGTTAATAGGTATTTGCAGAGAGTAGGAAGGAGTTCAGCATACGCTGGAAGTAGTGGTGCTCGAAGAGGCGGAAGTTGCCTGGGTCACGCTTCTCCACGGGGCTGGCGAGAGCGATAGGAGTGAAGGCCAAGATGGCGGAGATGATTGTGATTGTGAGCATGGTCGGTAGTTGTAGAGGAGGGATAGATGTATAATTGAATGGAGACTGTTTTGCTGTGCTGATGGCTGATGTACAATGAGAAGAAGCCCTCCTTTTGTACTTGGAACGAGTTCCCGCTACGGTTGTTTAGAGCAGAAGAAGACTTTTTGACAACATACAGGGTGGGTCTATGAATCCTGAATGAAGCCTCACGACTGATCGCCGATTGTGTCTTCGATCGTAGATGGTCGTAGAGATGTACGCCTTATCTTGGCAAGAGTTGAGAGCGGCCAGCTCCGTCTCAGGTGATTGGTGAACGCACCCTTCGCACTATCCTATGATGTCCAACTTTAGCATCTTTATAGGATGCCAAAGAAATTGGCAGGCATATGTTTAAGATGACCTTGGATGACACAGAGCCTGTTCGTTGAGTGAGTTTACCAAGGTTGTCGAATGAGTGCGAGTCTTTCGTGCGCACTAACGATCATGTCTTCTGACGGTAGCGCGATTAGAGTTGAGAACTCCCCACAGAAAGACACACTTAACCCTTACTGAGAAGGAGAGTCTGGAGAGTGACTTGCACATAGCTGGCCGCCTTGAGACCATGATAATGCCGTCTATGCCTACAGACTTGGCACATGGTGTCAATATAGGACAAGCCGTGCCGAATATGCGTGAAAATGCTTGGCTGTGGTCATTAGCAGAGGCTTTGGTACGCCAAGGAAGAGCGAAGGAACATGCTATTCCCCCAGGGCGGTACGCGCTCTTAGGCCTCCCGTCCCGTCCCGTACCGCGTACGCCAAGATGTGGAGGAATAGCTTGTAAAATGACGATATACATGCCGTGATTGCCGGATAAATTCCATACCGTCAGGCCTTCAAAACAGACCGAATAGCGTGTGCACTATCGATTCCAGAGCAGATGAACTTTAAAGCTAAGTAAAGCCCGTGTTTTAAAACGCGACGATTGCTTGCTGAGAAGACAAGGCTGACTGTGAGTGACATGCACGTATCCAGTAGGAAAATGGAAAGCCGTCATATGTATCCATCATGCCACTGTGTGAGGTGTAGATACGGCTACTCCGCTAACACATACTTCACACCCTCAGCCAAGTTATCCATGAACTGTTTCTGCGGCTCAGCAAGCTTCGGAGAAGGCCAAGCGAAGAAGAAATGTGGATAGCCATCGTAGAAATCAAATTTAACGGGCACACTACAGTTTAGTCAGCATCAACTCTTACAACAAAGACACGAAACCTACCGAGCATCTTCTAGCATCTTTTTCATGAGCACACCGTCGTCTCTCAGTGTGTCATGTCCCGCAACAGCCATGTAAACCTTCTTCAAGTCCTTGATTCCAGGATGAAGAAGGGGCGATCCGTATGTATCCGTTGGTGGAGCACCAAAAGCCTTCCAGAAGTCTCTCATCGCTCCCGCAGTGTTAACAGTGTGCTGATCATGCTCCTCCATCGCCGTGTACCCAGATTGAAGTTTCTCTGGAACACCATCCGGGTGCACAGTCACGGGTATGAGTGCGACAACACCAACCAGTCCATCTATGCTTGCATCCCGGGCTCTCAGCGCAACGGCGAAAGCAAGTTGACCGCCAGCTGAAAGCCCGGCAGTGAGAAACTTCCCTTCGGTGGTGTTTAGCCGCTTCGAGTTGTCCAACGCCCATCGTAAAGCGTTGAAGCATTCGTCCATTAAGTCTTGGTGCTTGTTATCTGGTGCGAGGCCATATTCGACAGACACAACCACTATGCCTCCGGCTTTTGAAATTGCCCTGCTGAATGGATCATCTCCGTTCACGTCGCCCATAGCCCATCCGCCGCCGTGGTAGTACATGCACACCGGCTTTCCACCGGTATAGCCGTCAGGCGTGTAAATGCGCACCTTGGTCCCGTGACTGGTTGTCGTATCTTCGGTCTTTACGGAAAGGTCGGGTTCGGGAAACGTGTATCTCGACGCCATGAGGCTGCCATATCGCATGAACTGCTCTGTCATGTTTGAGATGGGTGGATTCAAGAGTATGCGCTCGCCAAGCTCCTCTTCGAACTCAAGCCATGGTTTCGCGAACCCCTCGTTAGCCATGTTGTCCTAGATCGGTCGTGTAAGTTGTGGAGTAATTCTTCCATTTCGGAAGCCATTTTGTACCAAGGGCTTGCTGTCGTATAAAAGCTGGGCCCTTGCGTGGTTTGGCGTCATGTGGGAGTGTGTCTGGAGTAGCTCTCATCTCGACTCACTTCGACGCGGGAAGACGTCAGGGGTCAAAGCTTCCCCACTCGCTGGTACGCTGCCGCCTTCCCCACGCTTAAAGACATCCGGTACTCCCCACCAAAAACAACATCGCCTCGGCTGCAAACACGCATCGCAACGCGTCGGCATTAACTGCTGCAGCGAGTCATGTCTGCTGTATTCGCACGTAGACTTTTAATCTTGGAGTTTGATCATCCTTACTTACCTCGATAGCACTACTCACGACGCAGGAACGCACACACACACACACACACCATGGTACTGAACATCGACATCAACAGCAGCCCGGCCTTCGCGCGCATACCGCCCTGGGTGAAGGCCAAGCTGCGTCCCATCGCAATCGAGAAGATCCAGCAAGTGTACGATTGGGTCGAGACGGAATGCATACCTGCTGAGCGCATCTACAAAGCGCAGCTCAAAGAAAGCAAGACGCGATGGGAAACCCCAGCTATCATCCACGACCTGCGCAAAAAGGCAAAAGCCCAAGGCTTGTGGAACCTTTTTCTGCCAAACCACTTCATCGAGAGCCCAGGCTTGACCAACCTAGAGTACTCGTGCTGCGCTGAGATAATGGGGCGCGTATACTGGGCAGCACAGGTGCGCTTCCTGATACCCGATACTCCTGTAATGCCTCACTAATAGTAAACCGCAGACGATGAATTGTCATGCCCCCGAAACCGGCAACATCGAACTCCTCGCCAAGTACTGCACACCAGAGCAGAAGAAGCGCTGGCTCCACCCCCTCATGAACGGCGACATGTCCTCGGCATACAGCATGACAGAACCCGACGTCGCCTCCTCCGATGCAACTCAGGTCGGCATAAAAATGGAAATCACCGACAAGGAAGTCATTATAAATGGACGTAAACTATACGGCAATTGCCAGTACAACCCGGAGATGCAACTGTTCATCCTGATGGGCTGTTCCGACCCCAACAATGCGAACGCGTGGAATAGACATACGACGCTGGTGGTGCCCGCGAACAGCCCGGGGCTGAAGCAAGTTAGGAATCTGACGATCATGGGATACGACTGGGCGCCTGAAGGACACGGCGAGTACATCTACGACAACGTTCGCGTGCCGCTCGAGAACATCATTCTCGGTCCTGGACGCGCCTTTGAGATTGCCCAAGGACGTTTGGGTCCCGGTCGCATACACCATTGTATGCGCCTAATCGGCCAGGCAGAACGCGCGTTTGAGCTCGCGCTCGTAAGATGCATGGAGCCGCGTAAGAAACCAAGGGGCAAATTCATCGGCGAGTTCGACAGCAATATTGAGCGTATTGCGGATATGCGCATGACGATTGATGCTATGCGGTTGGTGGTGCTTAATGCTGCGGATACTATGGATCTGCAGGGTAACAAGGCGGGCAAATACGCTATTGCGCAGAGCAAGATTATAGTGCCGAATGCGCTGCTCAAGGTTATCGATGAGGCCATGCAGATATATGGTGGTCAGGGCTTGACGCAACATACGCCGTTGCCGGAGCTGTGGACGTATGCACGTTTTGTGAGAGTGGCTGATGGGCCGGATTCGGCGCATAGACATCAAGTGGGAAGAGATCAGATGAAGACAGCGCAAGGGTTTAGGAAGAGAGCGGAAGGGTACACGGAGAGGTATAGGGAGCTTTGCAAGAAGTGGGGTCTTGAACCCGAAGAGTTCTGGGGTATCTTGTAGTAATAAATTCTCGTTTCTTGTGATCTTAATTCGTAGGCGCATACTCTCGCGCAGTTCGACCTTTCCCTGGGTCGCACTCATGTTCTCCTTCTCGTCGTCTGTTTACTGGTACCATCTCCTCCTTCTCACTCTGCTCTCGGCATGTGCCGGTACGAAAGCGATTTTACCCACATCTTCATCTGTCTTCGTATCTGCGATCATAACTTTCAGGTGCCCTAATCGCCTGGTCATCCCCGTTCCGTCTGCTGCACTATTTCCTTGTATCTCGCGGTCGTGGAAATATCTCGAGTCTCTTATTTGGCTGCTGACATAACCCAAGATTCGGGGTGCATGACAGCGCTCATGCATGATCAAAGAGAAGACGGCCGCGAAGAACATGATCGCCACGGATACAAAATAGAGTATAATCCATGGGATATCCAGAGCGTAAGTGGCCGGTAACGGAAATACAATGGCTGACGTGGTATTGAGATGAAGCGAAGTATCGTTGAAAGTGGACGGCGTGAGATCTCCACCCATGATAGTCGCATGTTGTATGTTGGTTTTCCATAGCGTGTTCCACAGCAGTGAGAATCTCTGCTCAAAAACCTTGATATCAACTTCGTCCAAATTTGCGTACCCGACTGACGAGGGATTGTTGACTGCGGTAAGCGGGTCTTTAAGATACCACTCCACTATACCAGATGTGCCAGATCCACGCTTGTTATCATCGAGTAGATCCATAAATATGTGCATGAGATCAGGGGCCATCCGCGGATCCAAGTCTAGAGTCGAATTTGGCCAGCGATACGTTCGGGGCTCGAAAATGGTAAGGTTTTTTGGATTAGTGGTTGTGAGCGTCTCCCGTACTGCGTCGACACCACAATCGGTTTTTCCCAAAGCCCCTTTTGATATGCAGGATACTTGAGCGTCGACGTATATCATCTGAGGTGAGCATTGTGTGACGGACAGATAAGCGGGCGGGTCGCGTCTCGTCACGAACACAATGTCGTGACTTTGGGTAGTATCATTCCATACTTGTTTTTCGGAAAACTCCAGAAAGAAGTTATTCATACCTTGCGTTCCAGTGGGTTCTAACAGCGAAGATAAGTTTTTTTGAAACTTGTTCATGATCCATTCATGCGACTCATCCATGCCATTGATATTCAACCAAGGAGAGCACTAAGGTCTGTTAGATTGAGGGCAATTAGAAAGGGAGAAAAGCGTCTCTTACTGAAAATGTTAGATAGCTTGCGGTTGTATTGAACTTTGTGTTGCCAGTAAAATTCCGCCCCAGGCCAGCAACATGTTCGCCGACAAGACTGGAGTAGTTGTGCACTGAATCCTGCCAGGGCACATTTACCCAGCGATGCGGTTCATTCGCATCGAATCCGGAAAGAGCGTGTAGGCTAGGCATCCGTACGTTGCCCCATGGATCAGTAGCTGCTTGTATACCAGCTGAACTTTCTCCTCCGAGCGTGATAATAATGTCTTGGTACGTTGCGTTCGTCTTATCGACGTACTGAGTAGCGGATGCGATGTCGTAAAGAGCCGAGGAATATAAAGCGCGAATTCTGGGCATGATACGTGTTGCAGTATTGAACATCGAGTTCAGTTGTACCTGTTGGCTGATATTGTGGTTGTAATAGGCAATATTTCCCGGTCTGGATCCCTCTCGGTCTCTCAGGTAAATCCCTCGGAATGAGGATTGAGACCCAAGAGGGTTGAAAGCCCACAGTACTAGTAGAGCTATACTTGAGATTCTCAGAATGGACCATTTAAAAACAGTAATGACAGAACCAGCAAGCTAGTGTATGAGCATTAGCATCAGTCAGATTCGAAAATTGTACGCTTCACACTAACCGTTAAAGAGCCCATCAGCTGCTCCAAAGCCTGTATATCATCAATTAGCCAGGCCACGCATTATGTATGATTCGTCTCGTACCAGTAGGTCGATGCCACGTTCAACGCGCCAGTCGGCAAGTGCACGAATCGCATTTCCCAATACACCAGAGAAGAAAATCGGCCATAAGGTTGGTGCGATACGTGTAGCCGAGAGTACTTTAATTGACCAATCACTTTCCTGTTGATCTTTCAGGTGTACAACAAATGCGCCAAGTACTATTCACACGTTAGCGATACTTCGTACGTATCGGATACAAGACCTACTAAGAAAGCATATCGAAACGACTATTCCAAGAAATTCCCAAGTCAACGCCCACGGCGTATTTCCTTTCCAGTATATGGGTTCTTTGGTCTTTTCTGAGAAAGGGACACTATGGGCGCCTACTTGTGCCAAATGCTTATTGGTAGTCTCGTCGGGTGGCAGACAACGTGACTGTCCGTCATCCGAATATACGAAGCTGTCATTGGGATGGAATTGGTGTTGAGACACGCTGGCTCGAGTCCGTTCGTCAGTGTTCTGTTCCTGCCCATCTCTTCCCAGTAGTCGGTTCGCCGCGCTTTCTTGTCCTGGCTGGATCACTGGATCGAAATCGGAGCGAAGTTGTGGCACCTCGTGAAACACGAATGAGCGCCGCTCCGGACCGTCCACTCGATGACTCATTTTCCCGTGGATTATGGTAAGGGAATTGTGGTGAGCCACTCGGCGAAAAAAACAGTGTTTGTGAACTTTTAGCAGGTGCGCCTCACGAGGCCACCGACTACGAAATAAGGCTGAGCATGCAACCTTGTGCTTTTGGCCCCCATCGTTGCCTGCGCCCTTGGCGCTGTATGAAACACACGATTTTAGTCAGAAAGAGTTCCTGCCGGAAGGTGATTGGCCGTCTGACAAGCATGCCGCCGTTATAGCGGAGCTGAGGGCGAGAGACTACAGCGATCATCTTGCTCTCAATCGGCATGTGCTGTAGGGTTGAGAGTACACCGCATCTATAATTGGTGCGTTAGTGGCCAGATGTGGAAAAGTGAGAGGAGATTAAATCAAAGGGTCCAAGTTGCAGTGGAGCGCCAAGCCGCTAACCGGGATGATAGGAACACAACAAAGCAGAGTAAGCGCTCTTGCCGGTTGATGCTGTACTTCCATATGCGATATGATTGCAATAGCTTTGGGGGCGAGAAAGTTCAATGAGTGAACTCAAGACTTCAATTGAGAGTTGTTGGTCGTGACATTCATCTATACAAAAAACAGACCAAAAAGAAGGGTATCATTTCCAATCCGTAGTCCCCGATCCCGTGACCATGTATCCATCATCATATATTATTCAATACTCATTACTCATACTGTGATAGGTGGTGATGACCTAAAACTCATGTTATCGTCATCGTCATCAAAGAAAGAAGCTACTTCCTGCGTCGACATAGCAAAGTCTTCGAAACACTGGCTCGTCCTCGGCGCCGCAGCAGATAGTTTCAAAGGCGGTGTCGGTGTCGGTGCGCATTGCTTCTTGGCTGGAGGAGAAGCAGATTGTCCGGATGGCGTTGTTGTAGCTTTTCTCTTCGCATAAGGGCCAGTCATGGACTTTGGTAGCTGAGACGCCCTCAGTTTCGCGAGTTGTTCCTGGAGGTTCCCATAAGCAAAGGGACCTGGGTTCAGGCACTTCCCAGCTATCTTCTTAGGGGGTCTCGAAGTAGTCAATGGCCTGCTTGAGTTCGCAGAAGCCCGTGGCGTGGATTCTTTCTGCGTAACAGCGGCATCAGTTCTTACAGGACCGGCGGTCAACGGCTTTACCGGCTTAGAGGTGGGGTTGACCGAGGGCTTTGCTAGCTCAGAGGGAAGCGGCAAAGACATTGGTCTTTGTGCGGGCCGAGGAGTTCCTGAATTCGCCTGCAGTGGTGCAGAAACTTTGCTAGGGGCAACGTGCGTGACGGGAGCAACTTTACATTTCTCCTCCTCTTTCCGCGGCTCTTCGTCAAGATCATCCAGAGAGAAGTCGAAGTCTTGGGTTGATATAGGAGGCATGTCATCAACTACCGAAGGCAAAGTAATCGTTGAAGGCTTCGGTGGCTCTTTGACTGCGGGCGTTGCTTCTGAAGCAAGCTCCCGCGAAACCTGGGTACTACTTTCAAAGAAATCATCCCAGCAGTCGGTCGGTGGCAATGGTACTGACGAAGTCTTTTTTAAAACGGACGTGGGTTCGACCGCAGTAAACGAGCTGGACTTCGATGCTGGAGCTCCAGGGAGCTTGAAGCCTGGATTTTGGTTTGTGGTAGGCTTTGCTTTGACAGCAGGTGGAGTCGGTTTTCTCGCCAAGCTAGGAGGTGGCATACGCCCAGGTATAGAAGGGAGCTTGAATCCTGATCTTGATGTATCCCGTGGCACGCCGGACGGTGTATAGTCGATGGCCACACGTATGGGAAACTGTGTGCGTTGAAAAGGATGCTGATCCAGATTCTTGTACTTTGCGATAAATGGAACCCGCGTCAGGAAGGTCTTAGTTCCCTGTAGCTGTCCATCTAACACCAAGCATTCTAATCGATCGTTCTCACAGCGTAAGACTCGCAAGTGCTGGCTCTTGGACAACTGGCTGCTTGTATTAAGATCCCGAAGCACTGTTACAGTGCAGCCGACCTTGACGCGCAGACGATGTGGTGGTAGCCCTACTGGATTCAGCTTGTGCAGCAGCCCTAGTGAAGGATCCCAGTCTGGTGTTTTGAGCGAAAGATCTTGTGACAGCAGTTCAATCAGAGGCTCGGGCAGTTTGTCCAAGGCAGCCTCGATCGCTTTGTTTATGGGTCCGTGAGTACGTGCGAATTCGCGATCATCCTGTGCAGGAATTGGCTGCGGTGGAGGACTTGGTGCGGCGAGCGGAGCGAGGGCGATAGGGTGAACAGGTACAAGAGGTTGTACGACAGCGGGCGGAGCGGGCGCAATAGGAGCAACGGACTCAGAAGGCTGGACAACAGGCTGTAGCTCCTCTACCGGGTCTGACATGACCATATCATGTGCTTCGAGAAGTGTGTCGTCGTCTAAGTCGTCGTCGGCCCACTGCTGTCCGGAGGATGCAGTCGTCTCCGGCAAATCGACCACAGTGTCTTCCTCATCGTCATCATCCCATGGCTCCTTCTCCATTTGTTCCGCAATCTCTTCTAGCTTCTTGGTGAGTTCCAAGTTCTTTTTACGCTTCTCCTCTTCCTTCTTCCTGCTCAGTCCTAGGAATGCTTCCATGCCATTCTTCAACTGCGCCTGCGTATGACTATACCCAGCAAGCTGGGTCGCCAGTCCGACACCAATTTGTTGCCTTGCTCTTGCCTCCTTCGCCTCTTTTTCTTCGCGCTTCTTCTTGGCTGCTTTGCGACTCTCCTCGGCTTTGCGGGCGCGGGCGGCGCGCTGTTCTAATTCGGCCTCGCGCTCGAGCTGCTTCTGCTGCCGCTCGTTGAGACGCGGGCCATTTTTCTTGGCCAGCTTTTTGAGCTCGGTAGATGTTTGTGCGATTCGATGAGGAGTTGGGGCCATGATACAACGCGCATGGCGGTGAGGGGTGCGGGTGGCTGCAGGGGGAGAAACGTACGTGGTGGCGAATATTCCCTGAAGCCTGGAACCGCGCTAAGACACGCAAACACGTGCTCGGATGACGTGCATCAAAACAAAGTATTCCGACGACTAGGCTATTGCTGTCACCTCTAGCGAAAGCCACAACAGCTTTTCATTGTCATTCCCCTGTCAAAACGGGCATATTTTCCGTGTCCAAAAACGACCAATCGAAAATGCAGCGGCCTGCCGTGCCTCACAAGTCCATGCGCGCTGTCAAGTTCACGTAAACACTTTGTTGATAAACGGCACACGTTCGCATCTTCTCCATCGTCCGATCATATCCTAGATGCAACTTGATAGGCGTGCGTGGAGTAGGGCCGACATGACTCGCTTGTTGTTGTTATCACCAGGAAAACCGCAGCCGACATTGAGCTCAACCCCGCCTACAAGCATCTCTGACAGCAGCAGGCTTGCAGGAAATCATCGACAGTGCATGCTGAAGGTGCTCTCTAAGGCTGACAGCGTCTTGACTCGTACCATTAGGCTAACAGCAGGAGTGGTGGCAGCAGTGCGTACCATTGACATTCCGTGGACCTGACAATTGATAGCTCAGTACAGCTTGCAGAGTACACGCTGAGCAAGGAAACATGTCTTTCGTACTAAAGGGTGTAGCATATATCACGGGTGCTGGATCCGGTATGTCTGATCAAGCTGTGTAGCATATCCGACCAATGAGCTGACATCTTCAAGGTATCGGCCAGTACACTGCATATGCTCTTGCAAAGCAAGGCGTGCGCTCATTCGCCTTGCTGGATCGCAATCCCATCACCAAGACCGTCAGCGAACTGAATAAGATCTCACCAGATGTCTCTGTTAAAACGTTCGAAATCGACGTCACCGATGAGAAAGCAATTGATGACAGTATAGAGAAAACGGTAAAGGAATTTGGACGGCTGGATTACGCGGTCAACAATGCTGGCATAGGTGGAATGATCAAAACGACAGATGAAATACCTAAAGACGACTTCGAGAAAGTCATGGCTGTCAATACCATCGCCGTGTGGCAATGCCAGCGTGCGCAGATCCGCCAGATGCTCAAGCAAGAGAAGCTTTCGGACTCCTATCGATCATACCGGGGCTCTATCGTCAACGTCGCATCGATGTACGGCCTGGTTGCACCACCACTCAATGTGCCTGCCACCGCATATGCTACGTCCAAGCATGCTGTCATTGGCCTCACAAAGTCAGATGCACTCGCTTTCGCACACAAGGGTATCAGAATCAACGCGATCTCCCCAGGTTATGTGATGACACCCCTAGTGAAGGAGCACATGAGTCAGGGCGACATGATGGAAACAGAGAGGAAGAAAGTCCCTGTTCACCGCTACTCGGAGATGGAGGAAATCGGCGACTGTATTGCATTCCTACATTCCCAAGCGGCAAGTTACATGATTGGCGCCACATTAGTCGCGGACGGAGGATACACAATCGTCTAGAGCATCGTACTAGCCCAAGACTTGAATTATCAACATCCGTCTCACACGTGTCCTAAAACACGTAGTCCTCTTGTCAAACTTGACCTTCGACGCAATTGTGCTTTGCCTGGTCGGTCGCACCTCGGCAGAGGTTCTCCACCCCAGTTCTCCACCTAATCCCCGCAAAAAAGGAAGACGCAACTTCCATATCCGAGAAAGATCTGGCTACTCCGAACGCCTCTTCGATTGGCTAATGGGTCGTCTAACAGATCACTCATCATTGCGCGACTTGGATGTCCCGGCATTGTTGTCTGTGCAACCCTCGGAAATGCTTTGCCAGATAAAACTCATGAGTAGCCATTGGGATCGTTAGCCCACATCACGAATCGTCACCATCGTTCGATATTCCAATCATGCATTCACTTTATTCGCGTAACCCCAGATTCAGGCATTCATTAGATTGACTCGCTATGTGGAGTCATTGAGCTAGGACCTGACTCTTGAAGCATGGGGATTTGCGGTGCAAACACACCGGAGCAAAGTTTAAGAGGTTAAGAGCCCTCGTAGCGGCAACGGTTTCCACTCACTGCTCAGCTTCAACTTTGCTTTTCTTCATCTTCCCGCTAGTTGTACACTATTCACAATGGCGGACGGCTTCATCGTTCCATCCACGGCTGCGCCAGAGACTGATGCTCAGCATCGGTTACGGGGTCCAATTCACGCGCAACGCCATGTGCGCGTCGTCTGTATCGGTGCAGGTGCTTCGGGACTTTTGATGGCATACAAACTACAAAAGCACTTCTCAAATTATAGTCTCCAAGTATATGAGAAGAACGCCGAGGTTTCGGGGACTTGGTACGAGAATAGATATCCGGGGTAAGTGCAGATCCGAATGGTTGTTGCGGGGGATCATGCATCCTTCGCCCCATGATTTACCGAACCGGCTGCAGCAAAGCGGCGCAGTTAGCAGAACCTTGCTAACATCTCGATTCAAGATGCGCGTGCGACGTTCCTTCGCATAACTACACTTGGTCATTCGAGCCGAAATTAGATTGGTCCGCGGTATACGCCGGCTCGAAAGAGATCTTTGCCTACTTTAACGATTTCGCGCGCAAGTACGGTCTCCGCAAATACATCAAGACACAACACCAGGTTGTTGGCGCAACATGGAACAAGCAGAGAGGAGGATATGATGTGCAGGTCAAAGACCTAGAGAGCAATCAGATCGTCAATGACCATTGCGACATCTTGGTAAACGCGTCGGGTATTCTGAACAACTGGCAATGGCCCGCCATACCGGGTCTGGACAAGTACAAGGGCACACTACTACATACCGCAAATTGGGACGACAACGTTGACCTTAAAGGCCGCCATGTTGGCTTGATTGGAAACGGGTAAGTGCCTTACATATGGTTCCCCAGCTCAGCAACTAACTCCATCAGTTCCTCTGGTATTCAAGTCCTCCCCACCATCCAACCACATGTTAAGAAAGTCACAACCTTCATCCGCGAGCCCACATGGGTCTCACCCGTGCAAGGCCTCGAACAACACGTCTTCTCCGATAGCGAAAGACTCGAGTTCGCCACCAAGCCTGGCGCATTAGTCGAATATCGCAAGCACATTGAGCGCGGCCTAAACGGTCAATTCGGCATCTTTCTCAAGAACACAAACGTCAACTCCGACACAGAAGCCTACTTCCGCAAGCAGATGACCGAAAAACTAAACAACGAGTACCTACAAGAGCGCTTGATCCCGAACTGGCATGTCGGATGCCGACGATTAACACCAGGCGTCGGCTACCTCGAAGCCCTAGGAAAACCCAACGTACAAACCGTCTACGGCGAGATAAACTCCATCACCGAGCGCGGCTGTGTGTGCGACGACGGCAACGAATACCCCGTCGACGTACTCATCTGCGCCACAGGCTTCAACACCTCCTTCAAGCCTCGTTTCCCCGTAATCAACTCCTCTGGCACCAACCTCCAGGACGTGTGGACCAAAGAACCACGCTCCTACTTTGGTCTCGCGGCCGCTGACTTCCCAAATTACCTCATCTTCCTGGGACCCAATTGTCCCATCGGCAATGGCCCTGTTCTAAGCGCTATCGAGGCGCAGGCAGATTACATGTGCAAGCTCATCGATCGCTTCCAAACACACAACATCTCTACTTTTGCACCTAAAGCAGAAGCTATCGATGACTTTGTAGCTTTCAAGGATGAGTACATGAAGCGCACCGTCTGGCATGACGCCTGTCGCTCATGGTACAAGTCTCTCGGCCCAGACGGCCCCGTCACAGCACTCTGGCCTGGTTCTACACTTCACTACATCGAGGCCCTCATGGAGCTCAGGCTGGAGGACTGGGACGTGAAATACACTGGTAACAGGTTCTCGTGGTTGGGCAATGGTTATAGTCAGACGGAGATTGATCCCACGGCTGACTGGGCGTTTTATGTTAGGGAAAAGGATGATGATGAACCGATAAGTAGGTTGAGGAAGTTGCAGCTGATAAACAAGAGTGGGACGTTGGAGCCGAGCGAGGGTGTGAATTTTGCGGGTGGAAGGGCGGAGGGAGTAGCCAGCATGAAGGAGTCGAAGCTATAGGTACAGGCGCGAAGGAAAGACGTTAATGAATGTATGATTGGTACGAAGAGTTACTTTTCAAGGCGATATGGATCATAGCCGGGTGCTGTACTGCTCAAATGTGGAAGAACGATTATGTCTTGAGATTTCGGCACATGGGAGTTTTGTGTTCTAGTTGTTATCGCGTGCATCGTGGACAAAAACCTCCAATATCATGTTGGCCCAGTACGACGTTGAGAAACAAGAACGAATGTCGCTCGAGGAATGCTGACCTAGGAAGTTTGCGGTACGACGGTCGCTGGATTCGTGGTTTAGTGTACGGAGCTCTGGAAAAGCCGCGTTCCGTCGAATACCTAGGTATGGCCTCACTTACGGGAAAACCTCGGCGCCTTCAACACGCAATGAAACGCGACAAACGCGAAGATAGCTACACCGGTCAAACACCTACCTATCAATCTTTACGAACGACGCGTGAACTGGTCAAAAATAGACGAGGCCACCGTAACGATCCATGGTGCGCTGACTTGTGATTCGCGCTAAAGAACTCCGGCTCCCCAACCCGCGGCGCCCGTCGCTTCTCCCGCCCCACCAGCGAAACACTCCGACACAGCTCTCGACCAGCACCCAATGACTGCAGTTGGGAATTGCGACCGAGCTTTGGAGATCCGGAGAATATGGGTTCGCTTCGTTATCTGCGTGTAAGCATTATACGTTGATCGACAGCATTGATGAGCAGCATTGCAGACGCCTTACGCAGGTCAACAGCTGAAGAAACGAGCGGCCGGCAGACTCGTTCCAGAAAGCACCTGACGTCGCAGGTAGACAGTAGTTACGCACACAGTTCTGTTTGGAACTACGCGACTCGAAGAATGTTTCCAAATTGCCCGCAAGAGCTATTTCTAGCTCTGTCATCGATCCCTTCAAACGTGCCAGACCCTGAGTTGTTCAAACTTCACTCCAAACTCCACAACTCAACCCTGTAGACCTTCTCTCGGCTAATGAGGTGATCGTCCCACATCACCATACCCAACCCAGCGCGCCAACGCACAGACATTGCCTATCCCGTTGGTCGGAAACAGAAACGATGCGTTTCGATAGGTACTATTCTCGTTTTTGGGCGAACGGATGATCGTCGGCGTGGTACAAACGCATGCATACGCAGTCGTACCAACGTCTGGAATACTGGGGTAGGTACCGGTATAGTGAGGACGCCATGCCGTGTCAGGGGTGTAAGACGTGCATCTTGACTGTGTCTTGACGTTTTGGACAACTGATTAGGGTCATTGAGAGTTTAGAGTAAAGGCCCTGGGTACGCGAATACGCGAGTAAGACCGGTAAGTTAGAAGATATATATTCTACTGCTTCCATCGCAAAAGCAAGATCATCATCCAACAGCTTCTACTTCTCTCATCTACTCTACAACACTCTCAACAACTACTCTATTCACCATTACTGCCGGCCAGTTCCTTTAATCCTCTACCAGTTTTCTCACCCAACAACAAATATCTCAAAATGCCTACTTCCCAGATCTCCACTCCCCTCAACGGTGTCGATGCCACTATCGTCATCTCCGCTCTCCACAACCACGACCTCATGATCAAGACGCTCTGCCCAGCGCTTGTCAGCTACGCCTTCGAATCTGGCGACAAGGCTACTTCAGCTACTTACACTGTCACCGACAAGAAGCCTATTGGCCAGGTACGACTTTCCAATCCCTACCTCCTTTCTGCTCCAAACAAGATACTAACATATGCCAGACTACCTACAAGTTGACTCTCACCAACGTCCCCGAGGGTGTCGACTCTCTTGTCAACGCTAAGCCCCCAGTCGGTGTCCTCACCATCAGCGGCAAGTGGCGCGTCGCTGATGGCAAGCTCAGCGAAGAGATTGACATCGACGCCAACTTCATGATGAAGAAGGTTGCTAAGAGCAACGTTGAGAAGACTCACCCTGAGCAGCACATGAAGCTCTTGGAGGCTGCTCAGGCTTAAGCGAATATCATGAATGAATGATGGAACTAGAGGGACAGAGATGCATGGGCTGGAGTAATTCCGATTGCATTTGGGTTTGCTTAGCATTTGAGTCGCGATGGCTGGGAAGTGGTTGTACGCATAGCTTGGTGTTTTTTGTTTGCAATGAAGCATTTTATCTTTTGTCTTTACTACGACTATTGACCATGATTGAGGTGGCGAACTGCTCCCCGCCCTCGAACACCATCCTTTCCAACTTGTTGCCTAACGAAGCACTTTTGTGGCGATATTAGAGCCTGTTAAGAATGACAGTACTATATTGCACCCAAGACCTCTGGTTAAATACACCCGGAGCTGCCACAATTCTACCATGTCTAAAAGACAGCACCACTCAACACTTGCATAGTTGCTATAACAGGGAAACTATGTTATTAGAGCTACTGCTCACTTCACATCGTATCTCGTTCCAAACACGACCTGAATTGAGACAGATTTCCCCATCGTCCACCCAATCCTGATCCGATGAACGTCAATCGTCGTTGAATCTGCCGGGCAGTCGCCACATCCAGTCGGAGAAAGGTTCATACGCAGTTTGCCAGTCGAGAATCTCTGCGTAATCACTAGTCGCTCGAAACTCGGCTAAGGATATGAGGTAGGGCGTGCTGCACTTGGTCTCATTGTTGCACATCAGGCGTCTGGAGCGGAAGCAACGCGCAGGCTCGTGCTCATCCATTTTCACACACCGTGGATCACTGTGGCTACGCACATCTCCTCTTCTGATCTGTCGTTCTTGCCCGATTATGAGTGTATCCAGCGACGGACACCTAGACTGTTGTTCCAGATCCGCAAAGAACTCCCTCGCCAAACAGTGAGTCAGGTTGTCAAAATAAGCCAGAACGCTGCAGTCGTAGAGAAAAGCTTGACGGAGATGGAGGGTGCGTAACTTGGATAGCTTGTGTATGGGCAACTACTTCACGTTAAAGATAGAACTTGTACTCGAGCAAGGGGTAGTCTTACCAGGGAACTATGAAAATCATCACGTGACATCAAGGATTTTTCTGTGATTCTATACCCAAATTGCTCTAGGTTGGGACATGCCAGACAAATCTTCTCCAACGTTCCTTGCATAACAACGGTGTCACCGCAACCAACGTTACGGTCCTCGGCGTTGTGTATGGATAAAAGGATGAGTTGCTGTCCAACATTCCGTAGACATGCCATGAGGGACTCGAATGACCGCCGATTCCAGCAATCCCACTCCAAGCACAGACTTTTTAACTCGGTACAAGAATATAGTAACGTATCAAAGTCCTCTAAGTTGATGTCGTTGTTGTGTATATAGAGACCTAGATGTTTTAATTGTAACTTGTGGCTACCAAGCCCATGTGCCAGAGCGCAAGCAAACTTTACGGCGTAAGGAGATCCCCAGAGAGTTAAGTGTGTAAGCTGTGAGAATGATATGATCTTGCTGATCCCTTCATAGAGAGACTCGCTAAGGGCAACTCCGGACAGTGTAAGTTGTCGAAGGTTCTCTAGGCGACCAGAATGATTGCTTCGGCATGAAAACGCCTTGGCAAGGCTATCACCAAGACTATGATCATAAGTTTTTCCCTCCTGCCCAGATTCTGTGCCAATGTGCAATCTTTCCATTTGCTTGTACGAGCTGATTTGTGAGAAGAAAGTCATCAACCTCTCCTCATCAAACTTTACCCAGTCGGCGTACACGTAAGGAAGCCAGAGGTCTGCCGTTTTTACACATTGAAGGGAGTTCAACAGAGTAAAGTCGTCGAGCCTAAGATGAACATGTGTCAGTGTGGCCGCCTGACGACGGAAGAGATCATGCGCGGTCTCCGCATGAAAGGATAGTGTCGAGAGGAACCTGCAACAGTTCAGCAAGATCTATGCTGGATAGTTCGTTGTTTTGTGGCAGAAGCATGTCATGTAATCTCACAGGTCTGGCGCTTATGCCACCCGGGTATTGCAGAAGTGAGGTAACGCACCGAAAAGTGTGCAAACGATTGGGCAGGAAGTAAGCTAAGACTGCTCTTATCTGACCGATCTCCACTGGCCTCAGCTTTTCTGCCTTGTAGAAGTGTCGATGTGCTTGGACCTGGAATTCTGGAGCTTCTGGTGGTGGTAGGCTGTCCATCAGCGTCAAAGACCTGGTCCCATCAAGATGCGCTTGAGCACCTGCATTCATGCAGCGCTCAAAACGCGCCACCTCATCCTCATCAAACACATTGATAGTAACCTTCCTGTATAGTAAAGGCCTAGCTAGCTCATCCCACGCTTTTGAGGCTAGACAAATGGCTTTGAGGTGGGAAGGCAATCGGATCTGCGTAGTTCAGTATAGAACCGCTTTGCTAATGGCTGCACTTACATAATCCAGTATCAGGAGCTGTACATCCGCTGGCAAAGTCACTAGGGTTGACATTGTCGCATGCATTTGTTGGGCTCGTGGAGTGGAGAAGGGAGTTGTTCAGCGCCGCGGAGCGGGGCGGCTCATAACGCTGATCTTGGCATCCAAGTCAGGGTTAGCACATGTTACCCCTAGAGACGGCATTTCGACTTGCATCCGCCTTCGCTCCACCCATACCATGAACGCGGTTTCTGCTCACAGTCATGCAAGTCACCAAGCTCCATTCAAGCATGATTTGGTATCTGTAAGAATCAATTCGCCTACTCGATCATAAATCTTCCAATGAAAATAGAAGCCTCTTTCGACAGCGCCCTGACTTCCTCACGAACATATGGTCGATCATCAAAGTGATCGAATCTGCTTTGCCACAACAGCCATCGCCCACGTGACAAACCCGGCTCACCGTCCCACAAGTCTGTTTTCACCGCCAAACCCCTCTCCCACCCTTTCCCGAACACCGTGTTTCCCCGCCTGTACATATCAAGCCCCCCCACCAAGACCCACTTTGCAGCCGCCATCAAGTCGTAGCTCATGAGCTCTTCAGCATCAATAGCAGAATGCTTGAATGAGGTTGGGCGGAGATGTTTGTCAAACTCTAACTCCCGTGACTGTCGACTCGTCTCAAGCGTCTGCCGAAGACAAAAGAAACCAAAGATGAAATACCCATTGTCAAATCCGGACTTGGCCAGCTTCACAGTGAGGACGTTGTAGTTGACCCACCTATCTCCAGGTGTGGTTGGTGTTGGTGTTGGCGCTTGCTTATCTTCTGGCTTCCAAAGGTATCTTAACCCTGACAAGCCATCGTAGTCTTCACGATGTATCGAGGCGAGGTATGTGTAAACTGGATTCGGTGAGGGAGGTATATCACGGATAGCGAAAAGAAGTTTGATGATAGCGTCGTGCGATTCCGAGAACTCAGCTACTGTTTCTAGCAACAACCGCACGACGTCAAATCCCTCATCTTCAGGCTTCGACGACGACGTGTGGACGGAGTCCAGGATTGCTTCCGCAGCAGATGCAGGCGAGGTGTCGTTTGAGACAAGATCTGCTAGGATTCTGCTGCATTTTTGTCGGACGGAATTTGGCCTACTAGAGCTCGCCTTTTGAATGAACCATTGGTCCATGGCGAAGAGTTATGCCTGTGAAAAGTGTTGGTGTGGTGTTGAGATTGGAACCACGGAGCTTCTTCTGATTAGGCAGCTGTCTTGGCACACCTTGCGTCATAACTAACATTCGGCACTAATCGCAAGGCTCATGTGATGGCTATTTACGCACTTGCAGCTAGGACTGCAATAGCTAAAATTATGTACAACGTTGCTTGATTTTGAGTGTGATGCGCTCCACAGATCGCTCTTCCCTTTCCATGTCACCTTACTCCTCGGAGAGGACGTCCTTCTTCTCCTTTGGGGGCCTGAATCCACAGTACAAGCAAGTGTCGGGGTATCCCGCCCATGGGCTCCCCTTGACTGGTACGCCACCGTTCGCGGTCCACATGTTGACCGGCTGAGGGTTCTGCTTCGCCTTGGGGTTGACGCCGACATCGATAGTAGCATATAGGCCGTCCTCGATGGTCTTGCCAATGAGCGAAATCTTCATCACTGGGTCATCGCCGCCTTGCTTAGCCATGTTGAAAAGCGGGTCTGCTGCGTTGGTAGTAATGGCTTGCTTGTTGGTGTTGTAGGGAGACGTCTTCTCGACTTGACCCATGAAGTTCTGCTCGATATAGAATTGGCCAACGTGCGAGATGGTACCGCCCTGAATGGTGTTGTTCGCAAGGAGCTTAGCACCATGGTGGATGATGGCTATGATTGTTAGTATCGATGTATGTGCGAAAGCTGGTAGTGAGGCTCACTGTGGAGATGATTTGTGCGGCCAACATAGTGCCCTGGGATCAAGGTGATGAAGGTGGCGGTGCCGTTAGCACCAGTGGGCTGCACACCCCGAAGAGCATTGGTTGCGATAGCAGTAGCAGAACCATCGCCATTACCCTTTGCCTGAACACCGGTGTAAACACCAGTGGCATTGCTTCCCCACATCTCGACGTAAGCATCGGTGACAGGCTTGCAAGACGAGGTGTCGATGATGTTAATATCCAAATGAGTGATAGCACCCTTCTCTCCAGTCAAGATGTCCTGGCGGACAAGCTCACCGGTAACCCCTAGAAGCTGTGAGCAAGCCTGCTTCATTGGGTGTGATTCTCTACTTACAGTAAGGGCCTTCAGTAGCCTCGGGGTCGAGCGTGCATGCTGCCTCAGCACCATAGCTTTCTTCAACTTCAGCAACGTCGCGGCGGACGAGTTCATTTTCCTTTGCGAAACCAGCTGCGACCCGAAGCTCGTGAAGCCTGGCCTCACGTCTTTGGTGCTGCTCACGAACCCATCCAGTCTCGACGAGATCCCGCTTACATGCTTGAACACTCCGACGATTCGGGTGATCTAAATGAGCCTGTCGCCTCAAGATCTCCCTGTTGGTGTTGCCGCCAGGATGCGCGACAACACCCGTAGCCAAAAGGACGGCGGTAAAAGCCTGTGTGAGCTGAACCATGATTGATGACAATACTTTGTGAACGCGAAGAGTCCCAGGACAACCCTCACCAGGCCATGCTTCCGACCTTCTTATACATTTGGCTCCCTGCGCGCTGATGCGTCACTTCTGCAGGTGCCGTCAACATCGTTCTGGATCTACGGATCTGTGCTGTCGCCATTCTCGTCACCGCACAGTCTAAACGGTTTACCCTGTTGTGTGCTACTCTCCACAGATTGTCCAGGATGATGTCCATAATCAACATGGTCGTGTTAGGCAGCGGCAATTGTTCGCTTCAGTACACGCGCCGCAGCTATATTGGCGTTCATCTAGTGCCCGATCTTGGCGGCGGGGGGAATGTCGCATGGTAGTCTTGGTACGACTCTCCAGGACGTCGTGTGGCTAATGTGAGCCAGTCGCATATTAACCGGAGGCTCCATGCGTGGTGATCGGTAGTTGAATGCGGTGTGATGCGTCCGTGTAGAGATCTAGTTCTAGGAACATGGATTCGGGAATACAGAAGCGAATATTTTTGTGTGTTCATAGCTACGTTAGCTACCTTCTGATTTGAGCTTGATCCGATGTTGTTGAATGCTGCGCGTGGAGACCGGGACAGAAGATCATGGACCTGACTTAGCCAACCTCGGTTAAGCGAAAGGAGGGCGGTTGGATTTTATTGGGCCTTGGATGTACTGTAGTATGTACAGTTGGGCGGCCAAGACACCACCTAGGTATACGCGTGCATTAATGAAGACCGGTAGGATTATAAGGTGGAGCAAATGACATGATCTGTATTGCTCAGCACCAACAATGTCGTCGCACGGATCGGGCCCATGATGCCGAGTGTGCGTGTCTCATGTGCCAGGCACGAAGCGGATCCTTGTAGCTGCGATATGTGACATGGTTTACAGTCGTCACTTGGCCTGAGAGCGGCACTCGCAGGTGGCTCAATTACTCACCCGCTTCTTGAGCGCGGAATCGATTCCATAGACTGTGCAAACCGGTTCAGTGGCGGGCTTAATCATCCTGAACTGAGTTTGTGCAGCTCATATGATTGCAGAGAGCCTCTTTCTCGGATCTCCTGCTCATAGTGGGTTACTCTCCGACTCTAGGGTGTCGACTGCCGTTGCACTACCCTTCAGACGATGCTTGTCGGCTCTTGATAACTCTTCCTTCGCATCTCGACATCCGATGCGAAACTTCTTTGCATGTGCATCTGCATCACCATCCTGGTTGAAAGATAACGACCCTTCCATACCTCTACTGTGAGCTATAGGCGACTGGAAAAACTCGATGGACTGAAGGACTCCATTCGGGGACATGTGTAGGATTCGATCACCGCTATTGGTAGCGGAACTGATATGAACGCTACTAAGGGGGCAGACAACGTGAGTGTTCCTGAGAAGAAACAGTGAGAACAGGAATGTGTCCACTTAGCTCCATGTCTTGCATATCCGACATGCCGTCCTCAAGCGCCGGCACGCGATGGCGGAGCGTCTACAAACATGACGTGGCTCCTTGGGCATCATCGCGGAGAGATAGTGATCTCAAGCTCCTAGTACAAAGGTAAGGGACATATCTGTTACATTGGAGTTGGTAGCCGTAGGTATAGCGACGTAAGTTGAGGTTCGTGTCTTCCTAGTGCTTCGAAGCCTGGAATGTTCTCCCTGAGCTACGAATTGCACTAGTCCACATCGATCCCCACACAAGCGAGCCGTACCCGGCGGCCCACTCTCCGTACTCCTGGCCGAAACACCAACCCTTTACAGCTGAAACCCACAACGCCAGGACAGCCCCGACACCAGCGTCTTGTGATGTTTGGTAGCGCTTTCGCCAGAGCCACGGTGACGCGATCAAACCAGCGCCACACCTGCGTAGCACGTTGAACGAATTACAATGCTATAGCAAGTCCGTACGGGGTACGCCCTTGCGGCAGTCACGGTAGTGTCAGCGTCTCATGCGCACGAAGTCAACTATAGTGGCGAAACGCGTTGGCGTCTGGAGGTGATGAAGAAACGACGAAACATCGCAATGCTTTTGTAAAACCAATTTAGGCGTTCATGCTTGCTATTGCTAACATTTCCTTTACTTCACCGTTGTCGCTCCCGCCATTTCACAGAAGCATACATCGATATGGCAACCTTTCTCAATTCTCCGAACACACCCGCCGTCGCACATACATTTTATCATGACGATAATGTTTCTCGAAGCCACAAGGCAAACCTCTCTGGAGCGACCATGTTGGATCTGTTGAGTGGTCCTGAAGGTTCGATTGCCGCAGCCTACGAGTCTTCTAGTTTGCACCAACGGACTCCAAAATCGAGACGGCCTTCTCAAGCATCAATCACTAAATCCCAATTGCGCCAGACGAATAGGACATTGGTTGAAATCATTCACAGCGTCCAGGCTGAGTTGGCGACTCAGAGAGAAGCAATGCTCGATATGCAGGCGCGAATTGTTCAGCTCGAAAGCACGTCGCAAATCAAGATCCAAGACTTTGCGCCGCGCCACACAATTGCTGGACACCGCAAGCGGTCTCAGATCAGAAGCAAAGAAGGTGCTACCCGCGAAACACAAAGAAGCTGGGATGCATTCCAGAAGGATGCTGATATGCTTGGTCCCCCCATTATCGCGAATGAATTCTGGAAGTCACCCAGTCGATTCTCTGGTTTCAACTTCAACTTCGACCTGCTCGAGACAATACCAAAATCGTCACATCCTCTTCCAGATGTGGATGATGTTCCGGATCTCACACCGGACGAGCAGCCACAAGCCTATACGCCAGGACAGCGCCGGATTCCTCCTAGGATCACCCGCATCAGGACAGCAGATCCCACCACTATGTATCACGATGCCGTGAGCGATATCAGAGAGCACGTCATCGAGTTCGACAAGATCAAGGTACCTATGCCACCGAAACTCCAAACCCCGCCACGAAGTGCGCGCAGCAGGTTGGCATCGATGCACAGCCCGGACGATGAGATCACGGCATTGCCGCAGATTCCACTGGTACCAGCAGCACCCACGCACAGCTCACATCGCAGTATTATGAGTATCAAGAGTCTGCTCCTGTACAGAACCTCTTCGAAAAGTCATAAAGCCGATTACGCTCAATCTGATCATCGCCGTTCAGGCTCGTCTATGCGCTGCTGAGCAGGCTGTCGACACCATACGCGGTGCTCGTCGTCGCCCGACCCGAGCGGATCATCTCAGAACATAGACCAGAACAATCCACGTGGAATATCATTTTGACGTTTCTTTCTCCTCATGACCGTTGATTGACATGCAACTGTTGCCTGCTTAGAGAGACTTACCTCGGAGTTAAGGCGGCTTGGCATTTCTCGCGCTTTCCACCAACGAAAACGTCATTATTCGTTCGCATATATCATCGTTCCGCCTTCCGCCTCTCCAACGACAACAGCACTGCAAAGGCACACACGCGAATCATGGCGTCCCTCTTACGGAGACCGTTCGCCATTACGGCGACACTGCGACAAGCTTCACCGAAATCGCAAACCCTCACATTCCGCGCTTTCCACAGCACGCCACTCAAGCAGCATCCGCACTTGTTCCGACCCGCAAAGCCTACGGTATCGACGTCGCAAAATGTCTCCAAGTTCCAGCAAGCGTTCCGACGCGGATACCAGCAGGCTGCCTACAACCCTGTAGCGCAGGGAGATATGCGACAGCGTCTGCTGTATGGAGGTGGCATCTTCGCAGGCACCCTGCTTGCGATCAATTTCATCTTCAATCGCGAGACACGCGAGGATGGTGGCATGCCGCCATTCGAGCGCGAGTACCTTAACGACACCTTCATGCACACTGGCCTTGGTATTGGAATGATCGGAATCGCAGCCCGCGCCCTGCACATGAACGGATGGAGCTTCAGGCTTATGAGCGCAAACCCGTGGCTTGTGCTTGGTGTTGGTCTCGTTGGCAGCATCGGAACTATGTACGGCACCATGGCCACTTCGCCTTCCAAGTAAGTATAGAGATCGATCTTCAAAGATAGAGTAGAGATGCTAACAAGATGCAGCTACGTCCAAAAGTACGCCCTCTGGACTGCCTTCAACGGTACCCAAGCCCTCCTTCTGTCGCCACTCTTCTTCATGCACCCTGCCATCCTCGCTCGCGCCGGTCTCTACACTGCTGGAATGATGGGCTCCATCGCCTTCGTCGGCGCCACCGCCAAGACGGACAAGTACCTCTACCTCGGTGGCCCACTTCTCGCTGGTGTCGCAATCGTCGCTCTCTCCGGTCTCGCTCCCCTCGTCGTCCCAGCCACCGCTGCCCGCACACTCATGGTCACCGAGAACCTCTGGCTATACGGAGGCCTCGCTGTCTTTGGTAAGATCCCCATTTGAATTGCCTCTAAGACAAATACTAACTAATCTTTAGGTGGTTTCACCCTATATGACGTTCAAAAGGTGTTGAACCATGCACGCCAGGCTCAGGCCGGCTTGATCCCCAAGGATCCCGTTAATGAGTCCATCTCGCTTGAGTTGGACTTTATTAACATCTTCATCCGCATGGTACAGATTCTGGGCATGAGCCAGAACAGGAGGAAGTAGATTTATCTAGAGATGATTGCATAAGGAGGATGTGAAGCTGATCCATCAGGTCTTGCTTGTTCTTCGTTTCGTTGCATATGCTATGAGTTTTCACTATAGCTGTATATTACTCCTCTCTTTGTTCTGTTATATATCATCAATGAGCAAAAACAATCGAAACAAACTTCATCATACAGCTTTGATGTCAGTTTTCTCCCTGTCCTGCTCCTTGTCCTTCTCGTCCTTGTCTTTTTCCTTATCCTCTTCCTTCTCCTTGCCTTCGTCCTAGTCCACATTCTTCTATCTCTCTTGGCAGCAGTCAGGCAAGTAAGATCGTGAATGAAACTCCTCTCGACCGCATCTAGCTCCTCAAGCACCATGGCTAGTACCCCGAGCAAGCCCGTGTCGTTATGGCGCTTTGCCTTCATTTCCGTTAGCGTGTATCTCAAATGCTGTCTGCATACCGTAATACCTAAAATAACATTTTTTCGTATATATCCTCTGCGGACAATCGGCTGCCTGGTATCTTTCTTCGTTCGAACTGGTCGGCATTGCAAGAATTGTATACCAGATTAGTCGTGGTAATTTATGAGTTTGAAATTTTGTGGTGGTGCAAGGGTGTGGTGATGCGAGTGAATGTGATTGTTGAAACTTCTAAACCTTCAGACTGGCGGGGATGACGGGAGTATCTACGGGCTGTAGGACGGAGATGAACGACTGGGTGAGATTGAGATGAGGACGTAAATCGCGAGGAGGCGTGCAGCTTAGTTACTTGAAGTAGCAACAAAACACCAAGCAATTAACGCGAACCATCCAATCGATCTCATCGATTTCGCAGGGCAAGAGACATTGATGAGAATGGTCTTCAGTATTGTCACGCACTCTGATTATGCGTATGGTTTTAACGTCCAAGTTCTATCATGTTTTAAGCCCAGCAATAGGGCATAGAAATGCATTTCAATTGCATCTCAGCCATCTACAACATTTCCTTACTCCTGTCCGATCTTGAACACGTACTTGACTCCACTTGCCTTGCCATCCCTCAAATTCTCCAACCCCTTCTGCACACCTTCCAACCCACCGGGTACAACCTCATGCGGATGCGGTGTAAACCAACCTTCCGCCAATCCCCTCGCCATGTATCTAAACATGATAAACGCATAATCGCTGTCCTCGCCGTGCGCTGTGCCCACCATAGTCTCAGACTTCTTCACGCTCTCCGGAATACCCTCGTACTTCTTGCCCGGCAGGACCAAAGTAAGTTGGCCCTCTGGTTCGAGGACCTGGACAAGGTTTGTGTAGGAGTTGTGTTCCGAGACGGCGTCGTACGCGTAGTGCAATTTCTGGCCCTTGAGGGCATCCTTGATGCCCATGACGACGGCTTCGTCACCCTTGCGGTAATCTACTATCGTGTCGCCCTTTGAGCGGTCAATCAAGCCCTCTACGAACTTCTCGCCTTTACCCGCGACGGCGATGATGGGATGGATGTTTGCCTTTTGAGCAAGCTTGATTGCGAATGCGCCTACGGAGCCGGCGCCACCGTACACGACGAGCGGAGTGGGCTCCTTGGCGGGTGTCCAGGGATCAGGCAGACCCATGCGTTGGTGCAGGCCGATTGCCGCTGTCATGGCGGCGAGGGGGAGGGTGGCGGCTTGTTCAAAGGAGACGGAGGAGGGGATGTGGAAGGTAGTGTGCGCCCATCCTACGGCGTATTCGGCAAAGGAACCACCAGGCGTCATCATCTCGTGGAAGGAGGCGACCCGGTCGCCGGCCTTGAACTCGTAGACATTGGGGCCAACACTGTGGACGTAGCCTGCGATATCGTCGCCACTGTTGAAGTCGGGTTTCATGTCATAGGCGGGGATTTTCCTAGGGGTTGTGTTAGTTGAGGCTGTTGGATATTTTTTTGTGTTTTTAGGCGCAAACACGAAAGAGAGAACATGACTTACCAGTCCTTGGGATTACTTCCGGAAACAACAACTTTGATGATGACTTGGTTCGCCTGTGGCTCAGGGACAGCGACGTCCTTGACGGTGACCTTGAGGTCCTTTGCTACTTGTGCCTCCTTCATCTTGTATAGCTCTTTCTGGTGCTATTCTAGGATTGTTACAAAGTTATACTAGACTGCAATGATACGTTGTCAAAGTTCAGATAGGACGACGTGATGTTGAGTTCGAGGAGGTCAAAGATATGCCATGGAAACCGAGGCGCTTAAGCATGTTTAAATCTCCCAGCCTTATGGAAGCTTCCACCGTCCCTTGTCCGACATCCAGAACGTGGCATTGTGGATTAATAATGACGGAATGTGGGGTATGTTAGTTCGAGTGGAGTTGATCCAGTACGTTGTCGACGTCGATGACGCGACTTTTCGGTACTGATCCCACAACGGCCAATAGCCGAGATTGGCCGGGCTGGTTAACGTCTGCAGAGTCATGGAAATCCGAGAACATGCATGATGGACTTCCAGCTCTCCCTGAATCACGAATCATGATACACGCCATGTAATCGGGTTCCTGCATCCGATGGATTCTGGGGATATCCTAGTGTGACAACATGTGAGCGAGAAGCGATCGAACTTAGGCAATCATCATCACTAATCAGGGTCGAGTACGCGACAATGATCATAAAAGTTGAAGTGATGCTATTGACAAAAGACCCACAGCAGTATTCGCAAACAACTATACAAATACAAGCTGCACCCTAGATGCAATCGCAACCCAATGACTGACGCCCAGGGAACTGCCATGGGCAGGGAGATTACCCAGTAACACCGAACCCAAACCATCGTTAATGCGTCTAGACAGGGTTTTTGAGGATGAAGACAGATGCAATAAGACAGACACACCCAGCGCCGGATATCGAACGAAAGAAAAAGTCGTCAAAAGCCCCATCGATGTCTCCTCCAACCCCCTAAAACATCCAAATCAGCAAAGTCCGAGGCATATTACAATCATCGCCAAACGCTCTTAGAATTCGGCATCAAGCTACCTCTGCCGACAGACGAACTCCCACTCGTAATTCGAACGGCTCCCCTCGAATGCAAACTCGGTACTGCGAGTTCCGCAGTCCTCGGCCGAACGTCGTCACCGACATTCGCGACTGTCGTCCGTCTAACCGCGCCCTTCATGATGGGTGTAACGCGTGGGGACAAAACGCTGTGCTTCCAGTCAGCATCACCGTGATTGGATTTGACCATTCTGCGCGCCGCACCCGCGGAGAGAAGTGAGTTCTCGTTGGGCGGACTACCAACTGTTGTTGCTGCTGTTGGACTACGGCGGCGATGCGCGCGGTTTATAGGGACTGAGCCAGCGCCGTTGGTCGAAGAACGGCGCTTGATGGCATGGCTGATTTGACGTGCGTCTGAAGCCGTCCATTTTTCCCCCTCGGAAGAAGAGTCACCACCGCTGTTTCCCTCGGGTGCTGGGACTGAGGAGGCGTTCTCTACGTTGCTTAGAGATGAGCGCGGGTTGCTGCCGATCTCGCGGAGGGGCGATGCGTTGTCGGAATCGGAGGTGTATGCGGTGTTGCTTCGAGATGTAGGGGACCCGTCTGAACGCTTGGAAAGCGCGCCGACTGCGAAACGTGATGAGCCTTTCAAGTCGACGGAAGCTTTAGGCGGCGTTGGGATAGGCGAAGATTCGCGGCTTCCACTCCCATCATATCTGGCGATAGGGATAGAGGTCGTCGAGTAGGCCGGGGGCGACCTTCCAATGGCAAGGGCAGGGTTTGTTGGTGTGCCTGCTACCTGCTGTGGTGTTGCTGAGAACTCTGCTAGGGTACCGTTCTCAGTGTCATCCTTCCAGCGCACTCCGCGTTTAGTCTTGGAGGGTGACTTTTTCTTCTTCATTGGCGAAAACTGGACGCCTGACTGTCTCACTCTTCCCATCAACTTTCGGCGTGGTGATGACTTCATAGGCGACGAGGTGAGATGCGACGAATCCGCCATAGCTGGCAACGACAGCCTTGGCATTGCTATTGGTCGCATGGGAGAGGACTGAGATGGTTCTTGAATGTTCACTGGCTTCCTCCTTTTAGGTGTTCCCTTGTTGCTTGGTTCGAAGAACTCAGTGATTGGCAGACCTCCGTCTGGTCGGATAGCCTGCGAGGTCGCGTTCGTGCAAGAATTCATAATCTTCGTAAGCAGCTTTCTCGCAGCCTCAACCGCTTGGGCCTCGTCCATCTGGGTGATCTGGCTTATGATTGTGACCGTCTCGATGTGCGCCTGGATCAGCGCCTGCACGATGGCAGCATCACCACCTCGTTCTTGATCCAGTAATGTGTTGAGTAATTCGCGGTCGGCATTCGATTTGAGCAATTCGTACTCTCGTGTTAAGTTCGCAGCGTCATGGCCATCAGCATTTCCATCCACCTCCGCCAGACCCTTCAGTCCAACACTCAGCGCTGTATCCATCTTACTTGTCCAGACGGTACGCTCCAATCGCCGATGGCAATGTTGCCGCGTCTGCTCAAGCTCTGCCGATATTCCGACTGCGGTGTCCCTCATTGCCGTAACTTGAGAAGGCATCTCCTCGTTTTCTCGAACATCCTTGACGTTATCAAACGCTGCGATCCACGACGAAATGAGCGAGATGCGCTTCTCTGCCGTCTTCAGAGTCCGCGACATGTTCAGTCGCTCACGGCGTTCAGGCTCAGAATCCGCATAAGCCTGGCGTAAGCGTACGACCGCGTCACGTACTATGCCATCCTTCTTCTCGCTTTGCTTCTGAAATTTGACCATGGCACTTCCTTCAAAATCCTTTTGCTTCTTCATCAACTCTTCAATCAAATGTCTCTGCTCATCGATCTTGACAAGGTAGTCCTTTACGTGTCGGTTGACATTGTATACGTTCTTGGTGACCTTGGTCTGGATGTTCTTTGCGCGGTTGGCATATCGAAGGGTGTTCTGCGTCTCATCGAAGTGAGCGCTTGACGGACTAACACAGACTATCATGACAGTTTTACAATTTCCGCCGAGAGAGAATTTGAGCAATCGCGTAAGTTTCGAGTTGCGGTATGGAATGTGGTTTCGTTTCCGGGGATCACATAGGGCGTTAATGCAGCTGCCCAGAGCAAGTAGCGATTTGTTGATGTTGGCACCTTCGGTGAGACGCTCTCCTCGGTTCTTGGTAGCGCTCGCTCGCTCACTACCTGCCAAGTCGATGATGCTGAGGGTAGCCATGGTGTGGGGTTCGTTGACCGAAGCGTTGCGGTCCTTGGAGGAGACGTTGATCTGAAGTACGGCGTGCGATCGGGAAGAGGTAGCGTTCGCTTCGGTTGGAGACATGGTTCGGTATTCGTTGCCGCGGACAATGATATCCATGACTTCTTGGACCTAGGGTTGTTAGACGCTTGTCGAGCAGTGGCTACCGGTTACTCACGCTCTGCGGCCGATGGCTCGAGAGACCAGCGACGGACACAGCCTGGTTGGCATCCTCACGCAGCATCAAGGGTTGCTTGCTGCCACCCTCCACCAGTAAGTCGCGAATCGTCTCGTTGTAAATCTCCAGGTAAGAGAGCGTGATCTCGGTGACCTTTTCATCCTGTATATCCTGAATCTTCTCAAACAGCTCTTGCATGGTCAGGAAGATGATGCCGGGCTGCTGTGATGTTCCACTGGTGACATGTTAGTCCTCCTCAGAGCAACTAGCGGTGTACATGAACATACGTGATGGTATGCGTCTTTCCGCAACCTGTAGCACCATACGCGAAGACAGTCGCATTGTATCCATCCAGTACGCTGTCCAGCAGAGGCTTCGTGGTAGCTTCGTATACGTCGCCTTGGGAGACCGTGTCGTCGAAGACGCGGTCGAAAGCGAATGTCTGGTCCTTTGACCGCTTGCCCTGCGGACCTACAGTCGATCGTCCGAACCGCTGAACTGCGTTGTCTTCTGGGGGATCGAAGATTCTGGCATCGTGTTAGCTTCGGTGACTTGAAATGACACGAAGCCTCTCCTACAAGCACTTCTCGTCCATGACCTTGATGACAGGTCGGATGCCCTTGTGGAGCTTTGGCGCTGGCAGTCCCGCCAGCGAGCCATCTCCGAGGAACAGCGTCTGGTCATCGTTCCTCGTGACCTGTGCTGCTTCCCGGATAGTAAAAGGGCGGACTCGTACGGTGACGGAGATGGAAGACGCGCCCGCGGCGGCCATTGTTGCGCCCAAGAAATGTAAGAAAACAAGGCAATCGCACTGCGCAGCCTCCTTGCAATGCGTATAGAGAAAAGAACTGCGAGCGAGGGGTTAGTGTTGCGGGCTGGAGTCGATAATGACGATGTTCCTTTCGGAACTTCTGTTATGGGACGCACGGCCGCTGGTAAACAGACAGGGATCTGGATGCGGCAACCACGACCCTGTTGCCAAGACCGTCCTCTTATCCCCACAATTTCCGACGTGGCTGCGACACCATCCGCCACATCTCTCCTGTCCTGCCAACGGGACCCACAATACTACTACCATGATCCTCATTGCTTCTTCAGCCTTGTGCGCTCGTACCTGTTGTCATAGCTTAGGTAAAGGGGCAAGAGTGGGTCATCACAACAAGTGGAGAACAAAACATGCGATGCGCATCTCACAATAAGATTTGAATATCATGCAAACGGGCAACATGCTTCCAACATAGCATCGTCAGCCTCATCCCTAACACCTCCTCCACTGGAAATCATCAACGTCAATCACCCACGGGCCGTTCACACTGAGCCAGCTAATCCAATGTCGCGGCCTACAATCAACCGCAATCAGTCATCTACTGCTTTGGCGCTGTGCACTTCTGCCACTGGACGTACACAACTTGGGTAAACTTGAGATCGGTTGAGTCGGTGGTGAGGAGACCAGTGGCGCTGGAGTTGGTGGTGGTCAGGCGGACCTGCGAGTTGATGTTGAGCATGCCGTTGGTGCCGCATGGCGCCCACACGACCGAGGTGCTGTCTGCTTCGTCGTGCTTGAGGTAGTCGCCGTTGGTAGGACCATCAAACTTGTACTCGGTGGATGTCTGGTAAGAGGATTAGAATCTTTATCAGAATGCTTGTGCTGAGATCGAGATTACCTGTTCGGTCTGGCCAGAGAAGTAGTAGGTCGACTTGAGCGTACCAGAAACGCCCTTTTGGATGGCAGAGTAGCCACGGTAGTCGGCAGACAAAATGGAGTACTGGAAGCCTCCTGGGTATTGGATGTCAACGTTCAGCTGGCAGTTCTTGCGCTGCTCTGTGACAGCGATACCAGGGCCGATAGATGCAATGTACGAGTCGAAGATCAAAGTCATGATGGTCCTGTCGGCATTGATCTGGGAGCTCATGGTGCCTTGAGGGCAACCGGTTCCTCCATAGCTAACACCACGAATCTTGACCTGGGTTGTGTGAGTTGATTGCCTCGTAAACATGTACTAGGAGTCCTCGTACCTGGCCAGGTGGTGGGGCATCACCAAGCTCGATGTTAGGAAGCGCGGGAGCCGCAGCCGCAAGAGGGAGGAGAGCAAGGAGCCACTTCATGTTGATGAATCGGAAGATGATCTTCGGAGAGTGCTGAGTACAAAGCTGATGTAGTAGATGAGGCCAAGAGTGGAAGCTGGATGATGATCATCAAAGGGCGTATGGACTGGGTTATATACCATTGCTCCGGCCTCAGCTCTTCACCTTTGAGTGTCTTAACCACTACCGCGGCAACACCATCTTGGTTGATAGCAGCTACGACCCGAGCGCGATAACAGCTGCCAAGAACCGTAGCAATATCGAGTACGATCCGACCGGCAGGCCGCTTATGCTCATAGGTCCAAATCGCAAAAGCTGCTCAGGTGAGTTCGTGTTTGTCGACTAGTTGTAGCGTGAATCTGTGTCTACACATCCTAAGCCAGCCTCCGGGCTAAGCGGCAGTCTCTGGGGTATGTGATAGACTCGTTCCGCTGTGCATATCGCTTCCAGCTGCCATGCTAACCCGAACCAAGATGGTGAGGCATGTTCATTTGAGCTTTCCGGGCGCGGCAATACTACATCCCGCATCGTGGCGGCTGTTCAGGTATCGTAAGTCTACGGTGTATGCAACCTACCCGAGGACTGACTGCCGACGGTATAGCTATCGATACAGACGCACACTTGTCGCGTGGACCGATAGAGCCTCTTGATAGTGGATACGGATAGCAGACTTACGATTGCTAGGGGATACAGCGGCCATCACATATCAGATGATGGTTAGTGTACCAAAGTCCTCCCACGCAAGCAAGTCGCTATTCGCTCGAGTCATTGTTCGCATGGTCGGCGGCCAACGCAGTGGACACACATATGAAGCCGAAATGAACTGAGCATATTAGCCTGGGGTACCGAACTCAGAATAGAAACACGGGGCCTGGAAGCTGGGAACATGCAGAACATGAAGCTGACCGAACAGCAAGGCAAGGTTCGCATTGATATTGACTTTCATCTATTGATCCTGTACGTAACTCTGTGCCGGAAGATGTGCGGAAGCGAAAACTGAAAACACTCTGCCTTTCTGAGACGAGCGGCCTGGCATTGCAAGCATATCGTGGTTGTGTTCATTTCGTAGATCTGGGGAAGTGAGGAGCTCTTGGCGTGTAGATTAACCTTATATTAAAGCTTGTCGTTCCATCGGTGCTCGAGGCCCTGACATAATCAATATTAGCGAATACGATCTGCTGCCCTTGCAGATATCTGCCCTGGAAGTCTAGAAAGGCGTCTAAAAATAATAGCGGGAAAGTTAGTCACGATGCATGCATTCGACAGCTGTTTGCGGCACGTGGTGACTCGGCAACACGCCACGACCGAGGATTCATCGTGTGAGCCCAGGCCTGACTACTGCCGGTTCAGCAGCGCAGGATGTAACCGGCGTGAAATTGCCAGGTGAAATAGATTGAGGATTGATTGCATGCTTCGTGTCGGAAAGACGACCAAGACGGTCAACCGAACCTGCCTTTGAGGGTAAAGCTTTCGAATTATCAGTCGAGCGCGATAACAACAGACGGGATGTATATCCCTCTATACACGACTGTAACGAGTGTGAGTCAATGCCAGGACTCAGCTTACCGCCTGGACTCCAAGCAAGAGGAGAGAGGGAAAGAGCAATTCTGGTCGGTAACACTGACATCAATGCAGCAATTGTCGCGCCGTGGCTCTCGCATCTGTACATCCAGACGCGTCCACAACAGGTCTGCAGCAGGACCTTCCTGGGCAGCCGAATGTCAGCTCAGTCGAGACGTGTCGAGTGTGTCCGTGAGCGCTCTATCGGGTTGTAGGTGACGCTGCGAACGTGAACCGAGCAATCAAGAAGAAGGACAAAACGGAAAGTGCGCGAAATTCGTCAGATACAACAGGACTTCGACGTGTCGAAAATGGCTATAGGATGGGTCTTTGCGACTTTCCAAAGTCAGCAGGAAAGCGACAATTGTGTAGTCAAAAAACTAGACAACCGATAAGTCGCAAGGTTCGCGAAGCAACTACCCCGCCGCCACCCATGTGGCTCGCGCGTGGTGGCGGGGACCCTTCGATTTGTCACCCAGAATGATGGCATCATTGCCGCGGTCCATTCCCTTTTCCCATCTCAAGCGGCGAAACTCTCCCAATCGCTTATATACATAAAAAACAACAAACTATTCTTACCAAAGTAATTCTCCCTTGTTGTGCAAAACACCCCAAAACTACGCCAATCTGAAGCTCCTTACAGTCTTCCTCTTCATCTTCCTCTCCTACCTTTCCATGTCCTTTCTGACTAAATTCTTCCGCCCTTTCAGCAGTATGTCGAATGCGCCCGCACAGCCCATGAACGTACCCTCGGGTGCGCAAACCGCGACCGTTGCCGCAGGATGTTTCTGGGGCGTCGAGCACATGTACCGGAGGGAGTACAAGGGCAAGGGCCTGTACGACGCGCGCGTTGGATACATTGGCGGTGATAGCGAGAACCCAGGGTACAGAGCCGTGTGCAGTGGACGCACTGGTCGTACGTAATCACCTGTTGTGCGACGAGACTCGACACAAGCTAATCAGAAGAGCAGACGCCGAAGCCCTGCAAGTAGTCTACGACCCCGAAAAAGTCACCTACCGTTCCCTTCTCGAGTTCTTCTACAAGATGCACGATCCCACCACCGAGAACCGCCAGGGACCCGATGTTGGTACCCAGTATCGCTCTGCCATCTTCTACCACGACGCCGAGCAGGAGAAGATTGCGCGCGATGTTACCGACAAGGTGAACAAGCAATGGTGGAAGGGTGGTGTTGCGACGGAGATCCTGCCAGCGGGGAAATGGTGGGATGCGGAACAATACCATCAACTGTATCTGGACAACAACCCGGGAGGTTACGAGTGCCCCAGTCACTTCTTGAGGAGTTTCCCACCGCTGCAGGACTAGCGTGTTGGAATAGGATATATGATCGCTATGTGCGCAATGTAGAATGACATGTCTCACGGCATACCTATCTCGCTTTTGTCGGTGCCTGCACGTTTGCACAAGCATCAGTAATCGATGCGCCCAAGTTATGGTATTGATGATCTTGTTCACATTCCCAAACTATAAGATATGTATCTACGATGGGGGCATAACCTCGAAAGTCTGCGCAACCTCCTTCTCCCAACCGAGTCGATCTTTTCCAAAGATTTCCGCTCCAGGCTGGAAGTTCTTGATACCTTCGTCCAACAATCCTGTCCTGAGTACGATACTGTCGGGACCTAGAACTTCTTGCTGGTGGTATACATGTGTGGTGCAGTTTTTGCAGTAGAACTAACAAAAACATTGTATCAATAGACATCCTCATCATGTGTTCGATAAGTCACAGAGAGGGATGGAAGAAGGAAGACATACGCAGTGAACGCTCTTTCCAGAGTCACCCTTGTACGTGTATTTGCCAAGGTCGTCACCCTTGGTGATCTTGAGGGCTTTGAGAGGAATGATCTGGTTGAGTGTGTATGTCGAGCCAGAGAGCTCCTTGCAGGTGTTGCAATGGCTAGTTGGTCATTAGCTACTAATGCTCGATTGATTCCCTGGCCAGGACTAGAAAGTTGAACGATGCAAACTTACCAGAGGATGTGAGCCTGCTGGTCCTTTTCCAGGGTGGCAGTCCACTCTGTCTGCTTGCAGTGGCAGTGTCCCTTGAAGTCCGTCATTGTGATTGGTTCCGTCTAAGAAGAATTTCCTTATTCAGTTAGAAAAGACCGAGGTATAGTAATCGGATGATGGACATCAGGGTAGTCGGGAGATGGTATTTATACAAAGACTGCCCTCAGACCCAGCGTCCTGTCTGCTCCAACTTTATTCCCTTGACCCCCCTCCATCTGGTTTTAGCCCGGTCCCTCCTCGTCGGAATAAGGTACTGCCAGCGTATCAGCAGCGGTCGCTCTGCATCCTAATCTCCCGATGCGGGTATTTGTCAAGAAAATGCGGGTGCTGGTGCTGTCATGATACATGGGGTCTGGTTATGACGTTCTAGGCTTCCTGCTATCATCATGTCGGAATAGACGCCGTTGTTTGCCGTTGCCCTGAAGCTTCTGCAATGTCGGCAACTAGACTTTGACTACCGCTACGGACTATTGCACTATGAGTGCCGATGGATATACTATCCGTAATCGGAAGAGATGGCACTTGAAGAAGGGAGAAGCTTGGGGCCTATATGAGGGGTAGTCCAGGCGCGTCCCAGGCGATCAACAACGCGGTTAGGAATGACGTAAGCGGGGCATTTACAACACAGCCGAGTAGCTCGATACTGCATTATTGCGGATCCGGCGTCTCGGAACGAGCTGAATTACGGGTGTGACGTGGCGAGACTAGGGTTGGATTTCAAATTGTACGATAGCGATGGTATGTTTGGGACTGTCGAACAACGGCTTGCCAAGTGTCATCGTATGCCCATTCAAAGAAAAGAGTCGATGAGAGTAAATTTATTCATCAATATCATCTTCAATCTACTTCGAGCAATTGGTATCGTCCGCCATGCTTATCTAGTGCATCTTCCACCCTCTCCATGACAGCCAGCACCTTCTCCTCTTCGAGCCGCCTTCCTACAACCTGCACAGCCACGGGCAGGCCGGCCATCTTCTGCGCGTCGTAGTGCTTGTACGCGCCTTGTGCGACACCATTTAGCTTCTTGAAGCTGAAATCTGATGGCAAGGCGTCTTTGACAGGATCGACATGTGTCACGGGGATGATTCCAGAAGAATAATCGAGCTTTATTCCGTCAGTACAGGAAAGTAGTAGGTAATTTCAAGCACGAGAAAGACTTACCAGGTTGAACATGAAAGTGTAACCACAGCTACTGACTGCATCATGCATACCACCATGAGGCACGGCAGGCGTCGCGTTAGGTGGGGTGAGCATAACATCCATGTCAGCCTCCTCAGACCACCACTTGTAGAAGTTTGCCTTGAACGCCTCGCGCTTGCCGGCGAGCTGCCAGTACTCGTGTGCGGATTTTGGATGCCAGTCACGTAGCAGGCCAGCCCAAATATCATCGCCCTTGACGTATTTCACGTACAGGTAGTGCATGTACTTGATGAAGCGAGGGAGGCGCATATAGTAGACTAACTGCGCCGCACCAAGATCATTCCACTCTCCAGTGCGGAAATGGCTCATGAACGTGTTGCCGCCATCACTGAGGAGGAGTTGGGATGCCAGTTGCAATGCCTCATATGGTGACGGTGGCTCAACATCAAAGACTTCATGGCCTTCCGCTGCGAGTGCTTTGGCTGTCTGGTCTAGAGCACGCGCGCATGCTGGTGAAGGGTCGGCGACGTGATCAGTTCGCATCACGCCTATGCGCAGCTTCTTCTTCTCCTTGAACTCTGTCTCGATGTGTTCCCTCCACTCCAGTGGATGGACAGTGTAGTCGTATTTCCAAGGCTTCATCTGGATGAAGCTGCGTGTAAAGTACGTCAAGTCGTTTAGTGTTCGTGCCATGGGGCTGAAGACGGAGGGTATAGCTTCCTGACCCGCCATACTTGTGTTCATGCCCACTTTTGGCCATCGTCCCGTCGAACATCGTATCGAGTAGCAGCCGGAGAAGTGGGCAGGGGCGCGGACTGAGCCAGCGACATCTGAACCGATGCCAATGCGACTACCACCAAACGCCAGCAATGCGGATTCTCCGCCTGTCGAGCCGCCTGGCGAGTATTTGTCGTTGTGTGGGTTCTTGCATTGGCCCCAGACGTCATTTGTGGATTCGAACGAAAGAAGCGTGGTAGGCAGGTTGGTCTTGACGAAAGGCACGGCGCCAGCATCCTTCAATATCTTCACCATGACTCCATCTTCTGTAGCAGGTTTCCCAACGTTCCTCGAATAGCCGACCGAGATATCGAAGCCCTTGACTTGTATTGAGTCCTTCAACGAGACAGGAATGCCGGCAAGTGGTCCTTTGAGATTCACCTCCTTCTCTGCCCACTCCTCGGCTTCGGGGAAGAGTATCTCCGTCACGCAATTCGTCTTCTCCTGTGCCTTTATCGCGACTTTGCCGTATGTGCGCAGGATATCGACGGGACTGGTGATTTGCTTGTGGACATCTTGGACGAGCTCCTGAATGGGTTTGCCGAGGATGGAGCGTTCTTGTGAGGACAGAGGGTATAGGTATGGTGTGGGAAGTGTCGCGATCTTAGAAGCGCGATCCGACTGCTTGCGCTTGCTGGTGGTGGAGAGTTAGCTTGTCGCATCGGCGGGATTGTGTGGGGTTGGCAGGAAGCTTGGAGCAACTTACCAGTCGGCTTTGTGTTGCCAGTATTCCGAAAGACCCATCTTGTAAGTGGAATTATGAAGACGAAGCAGTCATGGAACCCAAAGTCAAAAGAAGAGCTCAATGAACCCTCGGGAACGATTACCAGTCACATGTCTTCTGAGAGCCGCGATTATGCGTCTGGCTATCTGGGAGCTGTGTCGCGTGGACCTGCCGCTTCGGAGCTGACCCGAGGTGGATTGAGCTTCCCGGCGGGGAGCTCTTATCACCGCCATGTCAATACACGCCCTGTATCAACACCACGCCTTACGACAAGAGACAACCCCCACTCTCGGCCTTTGCACATAGATCCTTACTACATGGTAGCCCGTATGACCTTCAACGACTTGTTACTGACAGCATCATGTACAGTAGGCCTGTATGGCGGGAGCGCTGCACTATGACAGCCACCAGGCACCCAGCACAACTCTGCATCATTGAAGCCTCACTTCCTACGTTTGACGCGAAGACCTATCTGAATCGTACGCAAAGATCAGCTAACCAATACCAACGAGGTACCACCAATTCCATAGCAAAGCATTGACGCATGTAGCCTCGCTGTCCTCTCATCACCACACGCGTCTCTTCAGCAACGCCATCACCAAAGCACAGAACTATTCTCTCAAACAATGTTTCAACTTTCCTCACATCTGATTGAGCCTCAACAGATAGCTCCCGCGCGCGAGGTAGGGCGGGAGGTCGATGTGGGACCGCGGAAGTAAAGCGACAGCCGCTACAGAACCTCTCACCCAGTCGATTCTGACATCAAACTGTGGCTCCACATTCTTCAGGTACCGCTGTGATTCTATGTACCTGAATGGCTTCCCCAGACTTGATGGCCTGGATTGTCAATGCGGTAACCGCTGGCGCACTGATGCGCGCCAGCTCGGACATTTTCTGAAAGTGCCGCTTCTCGACGCTGATTGGCCCACGCAGCGACTACTCGAGATGCCATGAAACCACTGTGGTCCAGACACACGATGAGCAAGAATAGCAGCGATTTCGACCTTACTCTTTTCGACATGTTGTTGAGATGGCATACAACTCTCACTTGTATAAGATGAGCTGGACGTAGCGTTGTAGTAACATCATCAAACACATCATCAACCAGCTCATCACAACTCACTTCTCTTTTCGTCTTTTTTTCCTCTTGTTTCCTTATTTCCTTGTTTCCTATCTGGGTCTCATTTATTCAACGGTCTTTCCTACTACGACACACTCTCTTCTGCTGTGCAGACCGCTATCCATTCCTTGCTGCATCAATCGCTTCGTCTGTCTACTTCAGTCTCCATCGGATTCTTAGCCACACCCACCCTACCACATCCAACTTTAGTCCGCCAACATGCCTGTCCCCAGCTACAACGCCATGCCTTTGAGCAAGATGTTCCTTGGCGCCCGCGTCCTCCAGGCAATCTGCATGATCCTAATCATCGGCATCTGCTCCAACTTCATCCAAATGATCGTCACAACCGGTGTCGAGCCCCCCAAAGAGTTCGTCGGCACACTGAGCGTGGTAAGTACACATATCGCTTCTCGATTCCTACTCCATTTCTAACATGCTTTCTCAGACATGTATCGCAGCCCTCTACATCATGGTCAGTGTAGGCTACTACTGGTCGCAAGCCAACCTCGGTCTCCTGGTCATGACAGGCGTCGACTCCCTAATCCTCATCGCCTTCATCGTCTGCGCTGTCACTCTGGGTAAACCCATGTCTTTCCTCAACTGCTACGTCATCGGCAAGTCTTCCGCAGAAGTTGACACGATGTACGCCAACGCTTTTGTCACGGCGACGGTTGAGAACCTGAACAAGAGCACGAGCAGCTTGGGTCATTGGGCGGGTGTTACGAGGAGCAACTGCTTCCAGGCCAAGACTGTCTGGGGCATGGCTATCGCGCTTTGGTAAGTTTCGATCGTGTTTGTTAGAGTCGTTCGAGTACTAACATAGCTCAGCGTACTCTTCACTGTTTCTTGCGCTCTTCTGCCTACGCTTTGGTACAAGAACAACATGAAGAAGCCTGCCAAGACCGTCGAGGAGGCTTAAGCATCAAGAATCTCCGGCCTTCTATACAGCCACGAGACACAACGACTCAGCAGTCGAAAAAGGAATGCGCCTGACAATAGCGCTGTCTGCCAGTTCCTCCTCCTCCTCCTCCACACTATCAACACAAAAAACTCATGTCTTTCTTTTATCTGTCAAAAACGCAAAAATAGTCTGCATTGCGAGGGAGTTTGGAGTCGTCTATCATCATTTCTGTTCTCTTCTTCAGACATTGAATGTCGATAATCCTAATGGATAGTTTTGGGCCTAGTTGCCCTATAAGAATACGATTCTATGAGTCTACTATACTATGTGTGTGCTACTGTGATCAATAAAATTCACTCCAGTCATTCCTGCCACTTTTTGACTCCGTCCTCGCTCGCTTACTGAGCTACTTATCGCTGTCGTCATATGACCTTCCATCTCTTTCTTCGTTCCATAGATTGACGCTATAACCACACCGCACGCACAATACGTGGGCCTGTCGAGAGATTGATCAGAGAGAACATTTTCTATCAAATCCTCAGATGAGCCTATAGCCACCTGGCACACATGAAAACGGCACAACCTTGCGAACCTTCCGACTTCCAATATCTGCCCCTCGATAATCTCAAACTGGAAGGTGACAAACCGAAAAGCCTGGTGAAGTTTGCGACACGGTGAGATCCATGACCGATCTCGGCTTCTCCAGATAATCAATCATGAGCTGCGAGCAGTGTTTCGTATGCGTCAACGCTCTCACATGAAGATCGAGGTACTTCTGATCTTCCTGATAGCCGCGGTGTAGCCGTCGCCACATGAGCGCACAGTGCACCATGTGCTCCCGAATCTCCGTAAAGTAAGTATTTGGCGCAACCACGTCGCCCATCTCGTCTTCAGTAAGAAGGCGCTTGGCTTCGCGTGTTTCGTACGCTTGCCATTTGGCGAGACGCTTGAAGTCGTCTAGGTTCTTGTGGTCGATGCATGGATTTGGCACCCAGATGTTAGAGAGGACATCGTAGGTGCAGTCGTTTGCTCGTGCTGTGGTGGAATTTGTGCCGCAGTCAAGGGTTTTCATGCGTGGTGGTTGTGGAGGGAATGGTCGGATGAGGTAGCCGAGGACGGTTGTGATTGCTACCGCGAGTAGGAATACGACAGCATGTAAGGTGATGCTCCTTCTCCAGTCTCTCCTCCTGTAAGGCAAGAGCTTCGAGCTGTGCGGTTCTAGTAGTAGCCTCTCTTCATGCGAACTGTCCTGCGAGCTCTCCGTCTGCTTGTCGTCATTGTAGGACTGATTTTGGGACATGTTCTTGGACGAAAACCTATCCAATCATCAGTCTATTGACGAGAGTATGATCGAAGATGGTACATATTACGGTCAGGCTCTCGTAGCCCACAAGCGGACTGTTGTATGTTCTGGAAGATCGCCGAAGTCGAGAGCGTGAGCAAGTTTGTCCTTCGACACTAGCATGTACCCAAGATGATAAGGCCAAGAAAATGTGTAAGCCTCAGAATTACTTCCATGATACAGCCTAGAGTATGACATAGATACGAGATAAGCCATCTGGTACGTCGCTTCTTCTCATCATGATGAAGAGTACAGTCAGCATGAGTAAGCTTTTCGGCTGCGGACCGATGCGCTCTCTACTAAGAACTTGCGGTGCCTAGTGTCTGAGTAAAGACCAAATGGTGACGATCAAGTACCGATGCATGTCTGAGTAGTGGCTTCGAGATGCGCTTGAATCATTGTCGCGGCGGCTGTCAGCTCGTTGTCGCGATCCACAAACATCGCGCTCAACCCACCAAGCTCGTGATCGAGAACCACATTCTGCCGACCAAACACTGCTGAGCTTCATATGTGGTTGTATGTAAAAAGATTTGTTAGCATCAAATGGAAAATGCGATATCTCTTGTCGTGGTTTCCTTGATGCGACACACGTACAGCTATCACGCACGGCGCATCGTCCACGCGTCGATTGGCTCCTTTTGCAGCATCCGGATCGGACGCGGAAAAGCGACCTGATCATGTTCCTGCGGAAGACCTCAAAGACGACATGGAGGCCATGTGCGAGGCTGAGATTTCAGCTGCGAAGGCTGCAAAAAGTAAACAAGCAGATGAAGATGTGACCGAGGGCATCATGACAGCCCTCAGCAAGTTGCGAAAACAGTAATGTAATGTCTAGCCTGTAATTCTAAACAAATTTATCCCCCAACAGTGCCTAATGATCACAATATGAGATCCACTAGCCAGCCTCTTCCAGGTCCATGCATAGCTGCGTTCACAAGAAGCGACTCACTTCCCGCCGAATCTTTCTCAACCGTGATCACCACTCCTTCATCCTGTACTCTTTCCATCGATGCAACCTTGGTTTCACTTTGTGTATTGTCGGTCCAGCCAACACGCATGGCGCCTCGACCTTCATGGAGATGTCCAAAACAATGCAGCCTCGGCTTGACTCTCTGCACTGCGTTTGCAAGCTTCTCGCAACCGCAATGCGTTCCGTCTTGGCTAACATCGAGGTCGTATTCTGGATTTACTGGAAAGAGCGGAGGACCATGTGTCATAATGACATAGACCCCAGCGGCTGCCGAGGTCGCACCGATATTGAACCTATCCTCTTCTTTGCCGTAAGCGAAAGCGTATCCGTTGAACTCGGGTGTGTAGGGGCTTGCATATACGCTGAATCGTCGTCCATCTTGGAGGGTGAATATGTGTGTGCCTTCGTCGAGATAGTGAATACCATGAATCTTCTGCTCCTTCATGAATGTGACGCATGCTAGATGATCGGCCATGTCTTCTGGCATGTTCTCACCAGAGTTGCTATCAGTCAATCAGTCAGTTGTCAGTTCATCTTTGCGGTTCAAACTGTCAGTCTGGAGGTAGTGAACTGACCTGATTGACTGCCAAGACATTTTTTAGAATCGCGAACTGAGACTG